ACAGCTCCACTGGGAGCGATTTCTGCTCTCTAACCCAAATCTGCTGCTTTGTGGCTTGCCCTCATGGCTCCTGGGGCTGCCCCCTTCTTCCACAGGCTAGCTCTTCTACATGAACCTAATTGGCCAAGGGTTATACATACTTGAAGGCAGTTCTCGTGTCCCCCTCCTACCCCCAAGTCTTCTCCAGATTCAACAGCACCAGTTCCTTCAAACAATCCTCACAAACAATGCCCTTTATCACCCTGGTTCCCTGCACCACCAGCCCCCCCCCCTACATTTTGGATGCTTTCTAATTGGTCATTGCCCTTCTTAAAGCATAGTGCCCAGAACTGACTGTCATACTCCAGTGTGGCCTGGGAGGGCCAGACTACCATCACTTCCTTAGTCCAGGACATTCATCTCTCTTAATGATACCTAAGATCCCAAAAGCTTTCCTGGCTCTTCTATTGTACTATTAATTTTTATCAAGCCCGCAGGCCACTTGAACCCCCACAAACAGGAAAGTAGGGAGGAGAAGGAGACAAAACCAAGAAGTCCACGGGGTCTTTCCTGGTCAGGATTTGGGAAATCATTAATTGGAGGTCATTTGGAGAACTATTTGTCATTCCCAAGATTCATCCCACAATGATAACTGGAGTCTGACCAAGGGGGCCTGTAGGATTCCAGTCCAGAAATGTTAGGTTACATGGCAGTCTTAGTATTCACCAGGTAAGGCCAAAGAGAGTCCAGAGAGCTTGCTTGTCAGAGAAGGACTGGGTGACATTGGCCATATTAAAAGAAGCGGGCAGGAAGCCAAAGCAACCAGTAGGAAAACAATCCATTGGTAGAGATAATCCATAGTATCCCACAGTGAGGCAAAGAGGAGAAGAGAATTAAAGAGGGGAAACCTAAGGAAGGGGGCAAGCTACAGGCTAGGAGCTAGAGACATCCTACAAATGAGGAAATAGACTTTGCCAAGACAGAAACAGTTTTATCTTCTCATTAGAAGAAGAGCAGCCTGGGCATTGGATATTAGTGTGGTCTGTGGTGCCAGGTTGAGGGCGGCATCAGCGGGCACACTAACAGTCCCTATAGATTTGGATCAAAGATTTATAGATTCAGAGCTGGAAGGGACCTTCAGTGCCATCTGGAATTGCTTTCTTTCTTTGATTAAATATCTGCTGACTGGCAAAGATCATAGTCATTGAAGGAGCCAGCTTGGGTGGTCACAAAGTGTGGGCTATTCATTCATGTTCTCTTAGGGAACTTTTCTGGGGGCTGTGACATGCTTGCCCAAGGCAGACCATGAGTCAGACTCCCACAGTCCTTTCCAGCAGAGTTTCTCTAGACCTTATGTTAAAGGCCACATACTTCCAACAACCTTGTGACATATCCTGGGGATGGCTCATCCTGGTTCTTGGCTGCATTCTTCCTCCCACTTGTTTATCCTTGTGTTCTTTCCTGCACTCCAAGGTGCCAAAGGGAAGCAAAAACCAAGAGAAAGTAAAGTTCAAATCACAGACACTCCCCCACCCCACAAGTAGAACTAGAAAGGACTTTAGAGAGATTATCCTGTCCCTTTTCTCATTAGACAAGAAAAAATCTGACTTCGAGATAGAGTCTGAGTTGGGTTTAAATCCCTGCCTCAGATTCTTATTAACTGTGTGTCTCTGGGTACATCACTTCACTCTTCTGAACCTCATTTTCCTCCTCTGTAAAATGAGAATAGTAATATTAAGTTATACTGAGCCATTAATCTTTGGGTCAGTGAATGATAAAGGAGGCAATAATAACCTACTGGCCCTAGATGAGTAGAAATTGGGATAAGGACCCTGATGTGGTTTGGGGTGCTGGGAACCTCGAAATATCAGAGTACAGGGGCATCAACCTGGAAAGAATTCAAGTACTCAAGCCTTCTTTCAGTCAAAGTAGTGAGGTTTACTGTAACACCAATAGTTTGGTTAGATTCCTAATGAACCTGAAACTTCTTGGGGGTAAGACTGATATATATATATATATATATATGTATATATATATATATATATATATATATATATATACACGTATATATATATATACATATATAGTATATATATATATATATATACGTATATATATATATACGTATATATGTATATATACATATATATATACGTATATATATATACGTATATATATGTATATATACATATATATATATACGTATATATATGTATATATATATATATGTATACACACACACACACACACACACATATACATACATATAAAAAGGACAGTGAGATGATCTGGATGCGATTAAGGAGTGGTAAATAGCCTGGGGTGGACTGGGTGGACAGTGAAAGGAGTTAAGTGCTCTGAGGTGGGTCAAGAGCCAGTGTGGAAGGACTGTTGAGTATCTAAGTGGGCCCGGCTGGGCCAGATGCTTCCAGTGATCTGGGCTGCTGAAGTGTATGGGAAAATGTAAGGACTAGGCTGCTTTCAAAGACACAGTCTTTTCCTTTTAGGGGTTTAGGTCTCATCACCCTATCACCCCCATGGTCTACATATAGGTTCCTCCTAAGTTTTAGTGAGAAATTATGAAGCAAGATTCCATTTAGTAAAATGTTGTTATTGTTGTATAATAAAACAATGGGAAAATGCTGCCTAGTTTAACCTGTATCCCTTGCTTCCTTGCTCCACAATTTTCCTCTTTACTGAAAGGGGAGTGAAAGATGAAAGTCATTGGCAAAATGCAGCCATGAAGAAGAGATAGAAAAAAATGAAGGGAATGTAATTTGGGCTTCACGGTGGGAATACAGGACAAAGGTCACCAGCTCCTCCCTATCCTTTCAGTGTAATTAAATGAAGTTCCAGGATAATCTCCATGGCTTTAGTATTGGTAGCCAGAGGCATTGTGGGTCTAGAAAGTAATTTACTCACCTCCACCCAAATATCTAGTAAGTCTAAAAGAATTTCTGCTAAAGGGGTGGGGAGGAGGGGAAGAGGAAGGAAACAATAGTCAAAAAGAGAAACCTGACTTCAAGGACTCTTTGCTTGGCATGGATTATAGGATCATAAACATGGAAGTCATCCGCTCTAACCTCCTTATTTCATAGATGAAAAAATGGAGGCCCAAGGAGATTGATTTGCCCACAGTCACATGGGCAGCAAGTGTAAGAGGCAGGATTTGAATCTAGGCCTCTTTTTTTCCCTTTCTTTTTTTAATAGTTTTTTTTCCCTTCCAATTACATGTAAAGACAAATGTTAGTATTCATTTTTTAAATATTGAGTTCCAAATTTTTTCCTTCCCTCTCCCCCCTTCCCCCCAAGACATTAAGCAATTTGATATGTTATATATATGCAAGCATGTAAAACATATTTCCATAGTAGCCATGTTGTGAAAGAAAAAGCAGATCAAAAGGGAAAAAAACCAGGAAAAAAATAAAGTGAAAATAGTATGCTTTGACTTATATTCAGACTCCATTAGTTCTTTCTCTGCATGTGGATAGCATTTCCCTCAAGAGTCCTTTGGAATTGTCTTGGATTGGAATTGTCATTGTATTGCTGAGAAGAGCTGAGTCATTCATAGTTGATCATCCTACAATGTTGCTGTTACTGTGTACAATGCTCTCCAAGTTCTCTCAGTTTACTTTGCATCAGTTTATGTCTTTCCAGGTTTTTCTGCAAACTGCCTGCTTATCATTTCTTATAGCACAGTAATATTCCATTACATTCATATACCACAATTTGTTCAGCCATTCCCCAATTGATGGGCATGCCCTCAATTTCCAGTTCTTTGCCACCACAAAAAGAGCTGCTATAAATATTTTTGTACATGTGGGTCCTTTTCCATTTTTTATGATCTCTTTTGGATACAGACCTAATAGTGATATTGCCAAATCGAAGGGGAGGCACAGTTTTATAGCTCTTTAGGCATAGTCCCAAATTGTTCTCCAGAATGGTTAGATCAGTTCGCAACTCCACCAACAATGCATCGGTGTTCCAATTTTCCCACATCTTCTCCAATATTTATCATTTTCCTTTTTTGTAATATTAGCCAATTGGATAGGTGTGAGGTGGTACCTCAGAGTTGTTTTAATTTCCATTTCTCAATTATGGGTGGGGAGCCTGCGACCTCAAGGCCACACGTGACCCTCTAGGTCTTCAAGTGAGGCCCTTTGACTGAATCCAAACTTCACAGAACAAATCCCCTAAATAAAAGGATTTGTTCTTTAAAATTTGGACTCAGTCAAAAGCCCACATCCAATGATTAGAAGGCCATGCCCCATGTGGCCTTGAGGCTACAGGTTCCCCACTCCTGCTAGAACATTTTTTTCCTATGACTAAGATAGCTTTAATTTCTTCATATGAAAACTGCTGGTTCATGTCCTTGGACCACTGATCAGTTGGGGAATGATTTGTACAAAATGACACCACTTTGTTGGGGTCAAGGTACAGTGTATTCGACTGTGGCTGATTAGACCAATGTGAGCTCAGAAGGCTCTGCCACAGGGCAGGCACAAGTAGTCCATGGGAACGTTTGAGAAGAAGATGCCTCTAAATCTGGGCATCTCACATTTGTTGTGAGCCACTGAAATTCTGCTTCGCTCATAGAGCACAGAGCCTTCTTTGACGCGGGCTGGCCGTGCTGGGGGTCCTGTGCCAGCATTTCCCATACTTCAGAGAGACCTCGAGGGTGTTTTTGTGCCACTTCTTCTGACCTCCACATCAGCACTTGCCTTGTGTGAGTTCTCCATAAAACAGTCTTTCGGGCAAATGTATGTTTGGCATTGGAACCACGTGGCCAGCCCACTGGAGCTGGGCTCTCTGCAGGAGAGTTTGAACGGTTGGCGGTTCAGCCCCAGAAAGGACCTCAGTGTCCAGTACCTTTTCTTACCAGGTGACCTTCAGAACTTTCTAGGACAATTCAAGTGGAAGCCATTCCGTTTCCTGGCATGGTTTCCTGTTTTCACAAGCATACAACAATGAGGTCAGCGCAACAGCTCTGTATACTTTCACTTTGGTAGACAGCCTAATACCTCTTCTCTCCCATATTCCCTTCAGTCTCCCACACACTGAGTAAGCTCTGGCAATGTAGGCATCAACCTCATCACCTGTGTGTACATCCCTGGAAAGTACACTGCCAAGGTAAGCACACTTGTACATAGAATTCAGTATTTCTCCCTTTGCTATAACTGACATATGGATAGTGTGAAGAACCTTTGGTTTCTTGGTGTTCCTTGTCAGGTCAAAATTAGCACAAATAGCAGAGAATCAATCCATACTTTGTTGCATCTCAGCCTCAGAGTTCTGTATTGAGTGCACAATCATCTGAGAACAAAAAGTCACGTGCCAACTCTCCCTCCACGTTAGTCGTGGCTTGTAGCCTTTTCAAGCTAAATATAAAGCCATGGAACGTCAGAGATAGAAAGGAAGACAGAGATCATCCCATCCAATCCTCTCAGTTTACAGGTAAGAAAAACCGAGTCCTGTAGAGTGATGTACTTTGAGGTCACAGTGCTGCTTCTGAAAAGTGGCAGCAGGATATTCCATTACACACAAACCCCACCAGCTGGGAAGACTGAAAAGCTTTCAAATGTCCGGCTTTGCGATTTGTGTAATATCAGCTGTGCTTCCTGATAGTAGAAGATATAAGCTAGGTATTCCTTCAGACTGTCTTCCCCTCCGGAGGTTTTTAGGATAAGGGCTAATGCTTATTTTCCTGACTATAAGTAAGAGGAAGAACTAGAGCAAAATTGCAGTACTCCCTTCCAGTGCCCCAGTCAGATTAAAATGTAATTGGGAAGTATTTAACAAAATGTATAAAAATACTATAGAACATAGATAATGTTAATATGTGGTTTTCTAAGTTAATAGGCAACCCCCACAAGGATCCTTCTATACAGTTTGGGGGCCTCATTTCTATTTTTTGATATCACTTAATTAGTTGACTGTGGGTCTCTCCCAGCCAAAATAACAGTAATAATGTTCGCATTTGAAAACCAAAAGTAGAACTCCTTCCACTGGGACCCCTCTAGGAGGGGCCTCTGGCCAGGCCAAAATCAAAGTGCAGTAAATACAACCAGGAAACATCCAGGGAGAGTAGAGTCTGCATTATTACGGATTTTCCTCACTTAGCTTGTCATTTTTCTCAGCTTCTGCTGAGAGGCCACACCCTCCCTCTGGGGCCAGCAGCTTTCTCTGCCTCTTCCCAAACTATAGGCATAACTAGGGCTAAGTTGATGGGCAGAAAGCAGGGATCATGAGCACAGCTACGGATGGCTGACAGAGAAGGGCAGCGGCTTACACGTCGTCTGGCCTCACTTGTGGCCCTTTCCCCTCTGCTATTAACAAGAGGAAACTGGGAAAGTGGGACTGGGCCAATGGTGTCCAATGTAACTCCGCGAGCATCTAGGGATTCCTCTGTGTGTGCCAGGCACTGGGATAAAAATGGCCTGAAGGAGCTTATATTCCAGGCACTATTCGGTTAAAGAAGGGGTGTGTGTGGGTGTGTGTGCGCGCGCCCACGTGCGTGGCCGCAACATCACAGGAAACAATATTGAAAGACTTCAAAACTCTGAGCAGTGCAATCATTCAATGGGGATGGGGATGGGAAGGGAGAACAAGCATTTATCATGCACCTACTGTGTGCTACGAGCTTGACAAATACAATCTCATGTGACAGGGCGCTGGCCTGGGAGTTAGGAGGACCTGGCTTCAAAGCCTGTCTCTGACTCCGATGAGCAATACGACCCTGGGCAAGTCATGTCACCTCACGAACCTGTTTCCTCATCTTCAAAATGAGGGGCTGAACCCCATTGCCTCTCAGGTCCCTTCCAGCTCCCAATCTTTAGTTAAATGGATCTTCCATGCCAGACATGCTGAGCTCTGGGGCTACAAAAGCCAAACATTTCCTGCTTTCAGGGAGCTTACATTCAAATGGGGGAGACCACATATTCACCTATAAATATAGACAAGATGATTTCCAAGGAGGAGTGTTCTAGCAGCTGGGAGAATCAGGAAAAGCCCTCAGATAAGGAGCAGTGTTTGAACCAAATGAAACTATGACTTAGATAGGAAAGGTCATATTGTAAACAAATTAGAGGAATAAGGAAGAAACTTCCTTTCAGATCTATCAACAGGGGAAAAGCTCACGACTGAGCAAAGGAGAAAGAATCACAGAAGGCAAAATGGGCAATTTTTGTGACATAAACTTTAAAAGCTTTTTTTTAATATACAAACAAAACAGTGTAGCTACAATTTGAAAGGAAACAGTTAACTGGGAAAACTATTTGCAGCAAATTTATCTGATAAAGGCCTCATTTCCAATATATATAAGGTATTTATTCAAATGTATAAGAACAAGAGCCATTCTCCAATGAACAAGAGGTCAAAGAATTTGAACAGGCTGCTGCCAAACACAGAAATCCCAACTATACTTATAGCCATGAGAAAAAAATGCTCCAAATAATCAATAATTATAGAAACACAAATTAAGGCACCCCTGAGGTTTCTGCTTTTTACTCATCAGCTAGGCAAAGGTGACAAAAAAGGAAAACGACAACTGTTGGGGCATCTAGGCCCACTGAGGCACCATTTTCCTGTATATTAGTATAAGCCTGGTGGAGCTGTGACTTGTTACAACTATTCTGGAAAGTAACTTGGAACAATGCCAGAAAAATCACTAACCTCTTTAGCCCCAGCTTTATGGCTGCTAAGTCAGCTTCTTCCTCACATAAAAAATCAAAGGCAGAGGAAAAGGATTTAGGTGTACAAAGGTATTTGTAGAAGCTTGTTTTATGGCAGCAAAGAATGGGAAACTGGGGTGGGGGTGCCCATCAACTGGGGGGAAAGGCTGAGCAAGTCATTGTAGTATGTGTTGTAGGGAATGAATGATGGAGAGGTCTCTTTCAGGGAAACCTCAGAAGACTTGTATGGACTGATGCAAAGGAAAGGGAGCAGAACCAGGAGAACAAGCTAGATTATGCTGATGCCATTGTAAAGAAAAAGAACTCTGAAGGACTGGAGAATTGCATTCAACATAAGGAGCAACCCCAATTCTGGAGGACCAAAGATGAATCATACCAGCCATCTACTGAGGCACTGGCCTCAGGATGCAAATTGAGAAGCTGGCTGTTTTGGACAAGGCCATTGCAGAAACTTGTACCTGACTCTGCATATTTGTTATAAAGATCTGGTCTCTCTTTCTTTTTCAGTCGGGGGTGGGGAGGTGGACAAAATAGATTTTTGTTTATTGAAAATAAATGTAAAAATCATGGTTTATGAGTCTGATACTATCGCATAGAGAAAACAAATTCTTGTTAATTGAAAAATTAAATAAAGTTTTAAAACACAACAGTAGTAGCAGACCAGGTATGGAACTGCTATGCCCTTCACCCCATGTCCATATGATTCTGATTTCTTCTACTATGTCTGTTTTACAAGCTTTTTGTTCCACAAACTATGGAAATTAAAAGTTTTTTTTTTTTATGGCAACAGCTATTAAAATGTTGGGTCAATGTTTACAACAAAGAGATCATGTTTGAGCTGAGCCTGGAAAGAAGTGAAGGATTAGCTTCTACATTAAGGGCCCGCAGGGCTTGGAATGTGATATTCTGGAGGGCAAAGGAGATAGGATTACAGCCAAGAATCACCTATCCAGCAAAACTAAGAATAGTACTTCAGAAGAAAAAAATGGGCATTCAGTGAAACAGAGGACTTTCAAGCATTCCTGATGAAAAGCCCAGAACTGAATAGAAAATTTGACTTTCAAATACAAGACTCAAGAGAAGCATGAAGAGGTCAACAGGAAAAAGAAATCATGAGGGACTTGTTAAGGGTGAACTGTTCACATTCCTGCACGGAAAGACGACATTTGTAACTCAGGAGACCTGTGTCAGTATCAGGGGAGTTGGAGGGGAAAAAAATTATATGTAGATAGATAGAGGGCACAGACTAGGTTGAAGATGAATGGGTGGTATCTGGTGAATAAAATTAATGGGTGAGAGAGGATTATACTGGGAGAAGGAGAAAGGGAGAGGTAGAATGGGGTAAATTATCTCACATAAAACAGACAAGAAAAGGCTTTTACAGTGGAGGGGAAACAGGGGAAGGTGAGAAGGAATGAGTGAATCTTATTCTCATAGGATTTGGCTTAAGGAGGGAATAACATACACACTCAGTTGGGTATGGAAATCTGTCTTACCCCTACAAGAAAAATAGGGGAGAAGGGGATGACAGTTGGGGATGACAGATGTGAGGGCAGACTGGGTGAGGGGGTAATCAGAAGCAAACATTTCTGAGGAGGGTCAGGATCAAAAGAGAGAATAGAATAAATTGGGGGCAGGATAGGATGAAGGGAAATATAGTTTTCCACAGCATGACTACTATGGAAGTGTTTTGCATGACTACACATGTATAACCTGTATCAAGTTGCATGTCTTCTCAATGAAGGTGGGTGGGGAGGGAGGGAGAGAATTTGGAACCTCACGTTTTAAAAACAAATGTTAAAAAATTGCTTTCACATGCAACTTGGAAATAAGATATCAGGCAATGGGGTATAGAAATCTATACACCAGGTACACTGAAGCTCCCGAGAATAGAGGAGCAGATGTAGAAAGTGAGGTCCCAGACAGATACCGAGCTCCTTGAGAAGAGCCTGGGGGCCAGTCTGTGCTGTCCCCAGCATCTTCCGAGGACGGTCCCGCTGGGTTGAGGAGCACTTGGGGGTACTCTGAGTGTGTGTGTGGTGATCCACACGGGGGGGACAGTGATGTAGGGTTTGGATATGGCCAGTGTGAGGATTTATTTTACTTCCCTATGCTTATGCTAAAAGGAGAAAAAATATCAGCCAAGCAGTAACAAAACCAAGCCACGGGCTGGCTCTCTGATGGGACAGGTCTCATTCCATCTTTCTGAAAGACAGGCCTCTGGGGTCACAGTTGATCCCTGTATAAGCCCTCATTTCTTTTTTTTTTTTAAGATTCAATAAATTAATTTAGTTTTCAACATTCACAATCGCAAGATTTTGAGTTCCAAATTTTCTCCCCATCTCATCCCTCCCCCCACTGTAAGACAGAGTGCATTCTGAATACCCCTTCCCCCAATCTGCCCTCCCTTCTATCTCCCCCACTTCTCCCATCCCCTTCCTCTTCTGTTTCCCATCTTGTGTTGTATCTTCCCTTTGACTCTTCTCTTCACACTTAGTCCAATAATTCTGCCCCTGCTTGTGAACCAGGCAAAGAGCCCTACTCTGGCCTCAATTTCTTCCCTTTCCAATCTTGTTCAATGAAGTCCTGAGTTCAAATCTAGCCTTTTCCAAACTGTGTGATGAGGGCCAAGTCACTCAGCTTCTGTCTGCCTCAGTTTCCCTCTACTGTAAGATGGGGATAATAATAGCCCCTACCTCACAGGACTGTCACGAGGAACAAATAAGATGTCTGTAAAGTGTTTGCAAACCTTACAGCACACTACAAGGGCTAGCTGCTGATATGATATAAATGTGAATTCCCATGACTTTCAGTCTTTCCCTATCTACCGGCTCCAGCCCTGATGCCTATACACAAGCCCAGGTCTCGCACACCCTTAAAAATCCCTTGCCTTCATTCCACCCTTCTTCCAACTCTCACCCTCTATCCCTCCCCCACTTTATAGCCAAACTCCTATGAAGTCTGTTCACAGCAGTGGTTTTCTGCTCCCTCTCCTCCCACTTACTTCTCAATCTGCTCTAGTCTGGTTCCTGATCTCATCACTTAATTGAAACTATTCTTTACAAGGTCACCCACAATCCCTGCTGGTGGTCTTCTTAGTCCTCATCCGCATCATTCTGCTTCCTCCCACCCCCACTTCTTCCTGGATATTCACTCCTTTCAAGCAAGGTATCTGATTCCCTCTCCTCCAGGAATTCCTCCTCCCGTCTGACTGCTCCTTTCCAGTCCTACTGAGCTGGATCATCTTCCATGTTCTACGCCTCAGAGCCGTGTCCTGGCCCCTCTTGTGCTCTTTCTGTGCCCTCTCTCTCAGTGAGCTCCTCAGCTCTCCTGAGTTCTATACAAAGGACTCCCAGATCTGGGTGTCTAGCCTTAGTCTTCCTCCTAGACTCCAACCCCTCATCAGCAATGCCTCGTTGGTTAGCTCAGAGCATCTGCAGTGTGGTCGTTGGCTGGCCGGGCATCCCTGGTGTGGCCACCGGCTTGAGAGGTATCCTAGAGCGCTCAGGGCCTAACGTCCATTATTCTCTCCTTCAACCCCCCCAAACAGGTCCACCGGATCAGCCAGCCTGGTGTTCCGTCACAGAAGCTAATTGCTCCTTATTGTCTTTTTTTTCCCTTTCAGTTTTGAATCCCTTCTTTCCCTGCCCTCCCCCCCAGCTATGTGGAGGGCCATGCTTGATCCGTTCTGATGGGGGATGGGATCGGAGATGGACCCCTAAAAGGGAAAGACTCTCAGTTCCTGAACTTTCCCACGAATTTCAGCTTCTAGTCTAATGGCGGAGACAGTCTGTCCAGGAGGGACTTGGACCAAAAGCAGCGCCCGGCACCTGGCTAGGACGTGGGCGTGCAAAAATAAAAGGGAACCAAACCAGCCCCGCCCTGCAGGAGCTTCCACCGTACTGGGGGCACAGCCTGGTGTGAGCACAGCCTGAACCAGGCTGACCCCACCCTGCCCCACCCCCATGGCAGACCTGGGCGTGGAGGAAGGGGGAAGATAGAAGGAGGGTGGGATAGGAGGAGGGAGAGAGGGGGGATGGAAGGATGGGGGAGGGATGCAAGTAGGGTGGCATGGAGAATGGAAGAAGGGGGAGAGAGGAACGTGCCAGGGGTGTGAGAAATAAACTGAGTCTGGGGTCTTCTTTATAACACGGGGGTGGAGGAAGGGGGAGGATGGAAGGAGGGGTGATAGAAGGGGGGGGACAGAGGTCGAGGAACACTGCGTGGGGGCGGGGGCCTTCCCTATCACTGCTCCCCTCACGGGACATGCGTCGCGGTCCCCGCACGAGCTCTGGCTGGCGCTGCTCACGCTCCACGGTCCCTCCCTTCTTCCCCTTCCACCCCCGCGGGGGTGGAGAGGGGGGGGCCTTCCTCCGCGCTAAGCCTTCTGGGACTTGGAGTCCTCTCCCCCATCTCGGACTCCTCCAGAAAGCGCCAAAGCCTGGCGAGCCTCTGACGCCGCCGCCGCCTGAGGCCCTGCCCCAAGCTCCGCCCATTTCCTCCAGGGGAGTCCGGGAGGGGAGTCCGCATGCGCAGGAGGAGCGGGGCTTCGGGAAGCGGGACTACAGCTCCCAGAAGGCAGTGGGGCTCCCGCGACTGCGCAGTGGCGCTCCCGTCCCTACACCCCACCCCCTCCTCGCTCCTCCGCCGCCCTGGCTTTCTCTAGCTCCAACCGCCGCGGGAGCCGGAGCCGGAGCCGGAGCCGGAGCCTGGGCTCTACTCGGGGCCGCGTTGCCCCCGTCCCTGTCAGGCGCTGCGGGCCGAGGAAGAGGGCCGTCATGGAGACCCCCGGAGGCGGAGCGCGCTGAGGCCTGCGGGCCCCCGGGGGGGCGCTACGTCCAGGTACGGGGAGGGGGGAGGGGAGAAGGGCGGGGTCAGAGGGGGAGGAGGACGGGAGGGAGAGCGGTGGGGGTGGGGGAAGGGCCGGAGAGAGGGAAGCGGGCGTCGGTGCGGGGGTGGGGGCGGGGAGAAGGGAGGGGGCCAGGTGTGGGAGGAGGACAAGGTGCAGAAGGGGAGCGAGGGGGAAGGGGGGGCGACGCCCCCAGGGGTCCAACCCAATCAGGGAGGGGAGGGGTACACAGCCCAGGAGAGGACGAAGGCCCCTCCCCCCATCGCTGAGCCTGGGGGGGAGGGAGGGGGAGCCTGAGGCAGGTGATTTTGAGGGGCTGTGACTGGGCCAAGGTCACCTTTCCGTGTGCTCCGGGGTGTGGGGGGTCCTGTGTCTGTGGCTGCTGGTTCCGATCGTGGGGTGCAGCAGGCCCTGAAGGGGGGGGCCTCCACGCTTGGAGTCCTGTGGAGGGGGGGCCGCCTTCCGTGGCAAATGAGCCCCCCCCCGCCTCCCCAAAGGAGGTCCCCCCCCCCGACCTGTTCTGTGGGGGGCCCATGTGTGGCCCGGGCTGGCTGCTCTGTGCAGCCCAGAAACCCTGTCTCCTCCCGCCTCAGTCCGCTCCAGGTGAAAAGCCCATTTCTGGTGCCTCGAAGACAGAAGTCAGGGGCTCGCCCCCAGACCCGCGGTCAGTCGACTGGGAGACATGGCTCACCTGAGGGAGTTTGCTAACCAGGTAAGGGGGTTGGTTCTGGAACAGAACTGAAGAAGCGACCACCTTTAGTAGAATCCATAGCCGTCCACTGCTGAGCTCAAGAAGTCCTACGGGGCAGGAAGAAACACTTGGGTTTTTAAAGACTGCTTAGACATACATTTTAACAACATCTCTGGACACATGTAAGCACATCTGAAATGCACATTTTCAGACTTGGCGTTTGACCCCCTCCCCCCTCTCTTCCCCCCCCTCCACAATTCCGCCCCCTCAATAATTCAGAATTCACCTTGCCACTGACATTTCTGTGGGATGAGAAATAGGGATTCGGGAACAAAGAGCTTTGAAGTAGGCCGGAAATTTTCAAAAATTGGACCGCCAGTGATGTTTGTCAAGGGCGCTTGGGATGTGACTTTCTTCTTTTGTCTGACTTGGCATAGGTCACAGTCTTATACGAGGAATCTCATCTTTTACATGAGTGCTGCATCGTGGGAAGAATAAAACTCGGGGTGGGAACTGTTGGCTCACCCGTCGGTGTCCAGAGGACCCCGGCCGAAGTCAAAGCCGTGGTTGGGGTGGGTCTGGCGCCGTGGAGGCCGGTGTGGTTCCTGCGGGTTGTAGCTGACTGGCAGAACCAGGGACACCTCTGTCCCGTAGTGTGTGAGGCCAGGCAGAGGACAGGGACTGTCTGGCTGAGTGTGGGAAATGCCAGGAGCCTTGGGTTCCCAGTACTATGATGCTGTCAGAGGCTGGCCAGCCCACCCCGCCATCCTGGCTACCTGCCTTCTTCCCTCTTCTGGCTTCTCAGAACAGGGACAGCACCTTGACATTTGGGGAGATTAAGCTGATCTGTGGCCGTCCCCTTGCACTTTTTCTCTCTGTGTGTATGGTTCAAGGGGGCTGCTTGATCATTTCTGCTACAGAAAATCCTAGGAGAGCCAAACAAAAGCTTCTGGGAAGGGGCCATCCGCTGGCCCCTGGTCCCTTTAAAACCCCTCTGTTGAGGTGGGGTGAAAAACTCTCCTTTGCTTTTGACCCTCCTCAGACAAGTGACCCAAACGTGCTTGTGCTTTGTCTGAACAAGACTGATCATGTAAAGATGGTGCTGGTTTAGGTGATAGTGAAGGGAGAGTGATTTAGCCCTTCTCACATGAGACTGAGCAGGGAAAGGTAAGGACTGCATATACACGGGTGGTACCAAAGAAGGTCGGTGGAGGTAACTTGGAAAGATATGTAGAAATGCATTTTTACTGTCAATCAGAGGACACTTTTTTAGTTAAATAGATTATTTTTAAAACTTAATTTATAGGGCAGCTAGGTGGTATAGTAAATAGAGTTCCAGCCTTAGAGTCAGAAGGACCTGAGTTCCAATCTGACCTCAGACACTTGACACTACTAGCTGTGTGACCCTGAGCAAGTCACTTAACCCCGACTGCCTCAGCAAAAAGCAAAAATTGAAAAACAATTTAATTTAGAAAGAGTTGCTGAGTCCTTTTAAGAGAAGGGGAAAAAAAAGAAAAGTGTGGAATGATTGTAGCCCATAGGTACAGGGTGGTTGAGAGAGGCCGTGTGGTCATGGTATGGTGCTGAAGTAAAAGGACAGGTGTCAGTTGCCTAGGCCTGGCCTGGTTGCGGGTGGGGCGTGGGGGGCAGTGTTGACAAACACTCCCTAAGCTGACCTCAAAATCTTGGGGCACACTGTGGAACCTCTCCCCTCCTACGTGTGTGAATGGGGGTCCAGCTCTGGCAGAGGGAAGCACTCCCCACCCCAGCCTGTCCCTTCAGCTTCTGGGTATTGCTGCTTAGGATTGAGGGATCAGCTGTGTGCCCCTAAGAGCTACTGAACAACTGCCAGGTGTGGGCACCTCAGAAAGCTCATCCCCCCACCCCCAAGTCCTTCCACACGCTGTCTTTTGTTCCAGACAGAATTACAGTGCAGCTGATACTTGTATCCCTTAAGTGTTTCCCAGTAGACCCTGAGGCCTAGGGAGTAGCCCACTCCCCACGCCCCCACAGTTAATGATCACAGGCCTTTTAGAAGGGCAAGGAAGCCCAAAGGGTCGTCAGTGGGGTGGATAGGTAGTCCCAAGGTGAAATCCAGCAGGGAACTTAACGGATCCAGCAGGAAAGACTGGATGGAACTGTGGCTTTTGAGGTCTCTTCCACCTCTGACTCTGTGCCCTCTCAGTAAAGTCCTCTGAGCTGCACATGTGCTGTGCAGCTCCCAGAGTGATCAGCAGTATGGCCCCAGGCACCTCCCAACCAGGACAGTGGCCTTCGGCTTTCAGTGTCCTGTGGCCATCCTCGGAACCCTGCTGGTCTTGCTGGCCCCAGGCCTGTGTGGGCAACTTGTTCCTTTAACCCCTCTCAAGCACAGGGCTTTTAAGCAAAGGTCACGACTTCTGGATTGGCCAGAGGTGCCTGATTTGGCCAAAACAAACTTGGGAGCCTTTTCCCTTGCACCCTGGCTCAGTCTTCTCCCTTCTCCAGAGTTCACTGTGGGCCTTTGTTTTTCCGGACTGTTGGATCCTCATTGCCAGGCACCTGTAACCTGGGGCATTGCATTGGGCATGTCATGATCTGTTCTTCTGGATCCCAGAGTACCCGTCCTCAGAGGCTGTGACCGAGTCTCCTGCTCTGCTCACCCTGCCCTCAGCGGGGCACCAAGCCTGTGGGTGCTGAACCAACGCTTGATTTATTTTTCAGTCTGCAGTTTCCAGATTCTCCTCTTCCCCCATCCATCCGTTAAGAAGGCAAGAAAAACAAAGCCTACTGCAAATATTGGTGGTCACGCAGAACAGATTCTTATGTGAGCCATGTTAAGAAGGAAGAGGGGCTAGCCTCCCCCATGATCATGGACTCTACCTTGGCTGGCCATTCCTCAGTGGGGGGGGCACCCTCTTCTCCCCAGCTCTTTGCCACCACAAAGAACTGCTAGTAATGGCACTTTTCCTCCTCCTCTGATCTCATTGGGGTCTAGCCCTCGGAGCAGTATCGCTGAATCAGAGGGCACGCACAGCTTACTGTCTAAGCGGATCCTTGGCTTAGCTGGGTCGATATCTGCTCGTTCGGGGTTGTGCCCTTCCAAGCGTTCGTCACACTGCGCCTTCTGTACTGTGTGTCGTGCCTGTGGATGCGTTACGTGCCCCCTGAGCCAGGGGCTGCCCTGTTTTCTCTGTGCCCGCCGTCTCTGGGGCAGCAGCCGCCACCTGGGCACTGTAGACCGTCCACCTGGCCGTGGAGTAGCGAAGCACGAGCGCCGAGTTCTCTGAGGTCTTGTGGCCTGGCGGGAACGGCGATTTAGCTTAAGATGAATGGAGGGTCCTTTTGTCTCCCTCCTAGGCCCTAGTCTGCCTGCAGAAAAGAGGGCTTGGTTCAACGCCTCTGCTTTTGCCCCCAAGGCTCTGGGACTTGAAGACTCCCTGCAGGAGTGACTGCCTCTGAAGTCCAGGGTCAGCGTTAACAGTGGCTGTCTGAGGTAGTTTGTACAATACAGGCCCCACCTGGGAACTGCACCTGAAAGGCTTGGCCAGGCAGTGCCACAGTACACTGGGCGTAAAGTCGGGAAGACCTGAGTTCAAATCCAGGTGGCCTTGGGCAAGTCACTTAAATCCTGCTTGCCTCAGTTTACTCATCTTTAAAACCTATTTCCAGGGTTGTAAGAATCAGATGAGGTCATTGCAGAACTCCTGGGCCCATGCCTGGCACATAACGCTGCCTCAGTGATAGCTGTTATTTTCCTCTCAGTACTCCCTTCTCAGCACCTGCAATTCCTTTTGGATCTCAGTCTTCATTTTTCTGCACTCCACGACTCCCATCAGTGAAACTTGCGCTGTCCCGCTCTGGGCCTGTTGCCTCTCTGTCTCCCTGTTCTCCCCACACTGACTGGTTCTTACCAGTCTCTCTGTCTCCCTGGCCCCATTGCCTCTTCAGGACTTCAAAGCAAAGCCCTCTTTGGCCTTTGCCAGGGAGGGGGGTGATGTGGAATCCCCGCCTAGGCTGACGGCTTCTCAGCGTCTGACCGTGACACCTGACCTCACTGGAGAGGGACTGAGTGGGTGCCCTCGGGGTGGCCCCGAAGAGCTGCACGGTCTGGCCTGGTTCAAGGTGCCTTAATGACACTCCAACCATAGCTGTTGGCAAGAGCGTCAGTGGTAACCTGAGGCGGCTGCTGTGGCTTCTCCAGAAGTGAAAGGCCTTAGGGATCTAAGGTTAAAGCCAGTAAGAGCCAGAGAGGCTGATGACAGAGTGTCTGTTGGGAAGAAGATGAGTCATCTTTCGTGCCATCTCCCAGGGGTCTTGAGCACATGGGGTAAACGCCCGTGGGGACCTCTCCCTCTTTGTGCTAAGCCTCCCGGTTCTCCGTAGGCCACGTGGGAGCCTTCCCTCCCACCCTAGCTTCCGGTTCTGCCCCGAGAGGAAGAGCAGGGCATGTCCTGCCAGAGAAAGGAGCCCCCAAGGTTTTGGGGAGCCCCCTCCCTCATGCAGTTTGGTTTTTTGCCTGAGAGGGCAGCTCCTTTACTGCCTGGCAGGAAAAACTTGGGGCAGGCCCCGAAGGCCCAGGCCTCTGCTTGCCCCGTGTGATGGAGGGAGAGTCTGGCAGACCTCAGCCCATTGCTGCTGGCAGGGAGGACAGCTGTCTGGTAGAGGCAGCGGTGGCAGGAAGAGGCTCCCTTCCTCAGCTGAGGAGGACACACCATTCTTCTGTGAATGTGGCCTGCAGCATGACAGCGTGGCCAACCACGCTGATGGCAGGCTTTCTGTGCCTTAATTGGGAATCGGTGGGGCTTTGCCAGAATCTTCACTAGCTCGTCTGGGGGTCTCTTCAGTGGCTCTCCCTTGCTGCCTTGTGAGGTCTGAACTCTCGACCCCAGCCTGTGGCCCAGCCTTATCTCTTTACGTGCACCCCTTCTCACCCCGTCTTCGTGCGAGCAGCCCCTCTGCCCCGGACAGAGGGCAGGAAGTCCAGCCTCTGCATTTGGCAGTTGAAAACACCGAGGCGCAGAGGGGAGGGGGCCTGCCTGATTCAGAGTCGCCCCCTGTAGCCCACTGTGGCTCGTTTCTGACCCTCCTGTACCTGTAGGGTAGATGCCCTCCTGCTCCGCTGATGCGGGCAGGGTGCCTTCTGTGGAGGGTTCAAAGGGCAGAAGCCATAAATCCGGGGCGAGAAGGGGCAGGAGTAGACCTGGCAGGTGAGCGCCAGGAGGTCAGAGTGACACACATGGTGCTGAGGCTGTGGGGTGGGGCGAGCAGGTATCGGCGAGGCAGCTTCATGGGGAAAGCTCTGGAAAACCTGAGTTCAAATCTAGCCTCAGGCGCGACTAGCTGCGTGACGGGATGAGTCCCTTCCTCGTTGCTTGTCTCAGTTTCCTCGTCTGTAAAACGGGGATGATTCTAGCACCGACCTCCATGGGTTGTGAGGAACAAATCTTGTCAACCCTTAACCTGCTCTGGGAGGATGGCTACCATTTCCCCTTCCTTAAGGCTGCAAGTGTAGCGTTTCCCTCCCCGTTGGGGTGCTCTTGGCTGTGGAATAGGAAGTCCGGGGTGGGGCCTCCCTCACAGGGGGCTGGCTGCCCAAGGCCCAGCTGGGCTGGGGCGGTCCCAGGTGGCTCTCCTTGGCACATGCCTGCTCTCTTTGCAGCACTCCCGTGTGGACCCCGAGGAGCTTTTCACCAAGCTCGAGAGGATCGGGAAAGGCTCCTTTGGGGAGGTGTATAAGGGTATCGACAACCGCACCAAAGAGGTGGTGGCCATCAAGATCATCGACCTGGAGGAGGCCGAGGACGAGATTGAGGACATCCAGCAGGAGATCACCGTCCTGAGCCAGTGTGACAGCCCCTACATCACGCGCTACTACGGCTCCTACCTGAAGGTGAGCTTGGGCTGGCCCAGGCCTCCTTCCCGGGAGCTGCTGGCGCTCAGGGGGACTCGGGAATCTGTCTGTAGGGGTCTGGGGATGTGGGGACAGATGGGTACGGGCAGGTGCATTCACTCTACTGAAGGGAAACGTGCCCTGGTCAGGAAGGTCAGACATGTCCCAACTCTGGGACCACCGTCCCTCCACTGTCCCGTTCACAGAAGAAGCCCCCCCCCTCATGGTCCTGCCCTCTTGGGAAATGAAAGCAAGACTGAGTGAGGAGACCAGAGGTTACAGGGTTATCCACTGTGGACAGGAAGGGCATTTGGAGATTCCATGTCTAGCTGCCCCTTCTCCCCCTGTTTTGGCACTGAGACAGCCCAGGCCCAGAGGGGGTGACCGGGGGTGTACAGTGCATCCCATACAGCTGACCAGTGACTCCCTCAATGTCCCTATCAGGCCTGTTGGCTGTTGGCCTCATAAGTGTCTGTCCAGTCTCCCTGCCCCTTGAGAGAGGCCCACGTTGTGCCTTCTGACGTACCTGTAGGGTGGGTGGCTCTGGGGCCCAGTCTTCTCTCGCTTTCTCTGTTGCACAACACACCCACACTCCAGTGTAGGCCAGACCTGGGCATTTTCCAAGATAGTCCTTAGTCGCCAGATGTTCTTGTGTCCACACTTGGGTCTAGAACTTTTTGTGTATCTCAGCTTCATCCTCTTAGCCTGGCAGATTTTGGGCTTTGTGGTGGCCAGCATCACCTCCACCGTTTTTTCTTTATGAGTGCTGAAGAATTGGAATGACTACTATTTGGTCAGTTTAAAAGATTAAACCTGGTGTGACGTAGCAGGAAGTGAGGTTAGCAAGGAGTGAGTTCTAGAAGGCTGGAGAGGGGATGGTGTTGGGCAGGACCCTCTATCTGGTCGTGGGACAGCTGGGTGGCCTTTGAGGAGCCAGCAAGTGCCCTTTTTATCTGGAGGCCAGATTGCTGGGGGAGACCCTGGAAGCTTTCAGACACGTTGGTGAACCAGACCACTCCCTTTCTCATTCCTTATAAATATTTTCCCCTAATGATTTGCAGAGCACCAAGCTATGGATTATTATGGAATACTTGGGTGGTGGATCGGCCTTGGATCTGGTAAGAAATTGAGCTCATTATGAATGTATAATGTGGGTTGGGCACAAAAGAGAGATTTTACTGTGCTCTGTGGGCCTGGTGGAGCAGGCCACTGAGGGCCCAGGGCCACCGGAAGAAGGTGCCAGACACAGAGCTGTTGGACAGTGGAATTGGCCCATTGTGTTCTGTGTGTGTGACCAGTTTGTGTCCCTTTGAAGTTAAACTGGGACCTTCATACCTTCTAAGGACCTGGGCTTTGAGACAAGTAGGGAAAACTGCGCCTGCCCCCCCCCCCCCACCTAACAAAGTGGCTGGGGCAAGGCCGCGAGGCTTTCACTAAGGTGAAGGTCAGCATGGCCCCTTCAGAGCTGCCCTGGCTGTGCCACGCAGGCATTGGGCCTGGGCCTATAACTGAGGGGGGAAAGCAAGGCCCAGGCCTACAAAGGGGCGCCCAAATTGCTTGCTTTTACACGTTTTACATTTATAAAATAAAGATTTATTGAAGTCTTTGTTTTTTTAATATGGGGAATATTCTTTTGTCGGGGCCCTTAAAACCTCATTTTAATCTGTCTTATGGTTGTATAGTGTCTGAGACATAAAAATGGGAACATGAACACGTCTGCCTATACCATAGTTCTTTCACAAGATGTTGGCTTCACGGGCACAAAATACAGGGAGGCCCCGTGGTGGCCTGATTACGGCCTCTTCTGTGTCCTTCGGTCTGTTCTGTGCTCATTCTCTTCTTTCTCATGTTTTTTTGCTTTTCCACCTTCCAATTTCTCTTGCCTTTTTCCTTCACACTTAACAAGCACTAAGCACCTACTGTGTGCCAATGGCACAGAGACAGTAGAGGGAGGGGGGGAGGGGAAGTGTTTACAGAGCAGGCGTCCACAGAGTCGTAAGGGAGGACATGGGAGGCAGTTGGGGGTTGGAGGGCCTCGCAGTTTGGAGGAGACAGGAGTCCATCATGTAAATGGAACCCTGTCGGCTTGCCTGTAGGGGCTCAGCTGAGGCTGAGCGGACTGGGGCCTTTCCTTACTGGGAACACTGTTGCCGTCAGAGGGGACAGGAGGAGGGTATGGGAGAAGGGGAGGGGTGTCCTGTCGCTGTCTCACCAGCAGCCCTGGGAGCTCTAAGGCGGGCTGGGGAGCTGGGGAGTGCGATGCGTTGAGGGCTGCTGTTTTCTCCGTCCTCCAGCTAAAGCCTGGGCCTTTGGAGGAGACCTACATCGCCACGATCCTGCGGGAGATCCTCAAGGGTTTGGATTACCTCCATTCCGAAAGGAAGATCCACCGAGACATCAAAGGTTTCCCTTGGGGAAGAGGGTATTCTGTGCTTCTTTCTGAGAGAAAAGCCCAGTGCATCCTGCAGGGTCTCGAGTGCAGCCCTGACTGCCCAGAGCCCCCGCAGCAGGGCTGGAAGATAGGACCTTACCCCTGATTGTACTTGTGGGCAGACCCTGGCAGAGAGGGCATTGAGGAGTGTGGGCCCCCGACAGGGGCTGACAGAGAGAAAGGCAGCGAAGGGAGGGCCCTTTTGGAAGCTGCTGAATCTCAGTCAAGATTACGTTCGTAGCGAGAGGGTTTTGCTGGCCCTCGGGTACACAGTGTGCTTTTTGTTGCTGAATAACTCTCTCTGGAAAACCTCATGGCTACTTAGATCTAGAAAGGAACACCAGCAGTTGTCCTGGTCTGGGAAGTTCCCCCAGTTATTTTTGCTTTTCTTTCATTCACATCAAGGGCCTGTGTGGGGGCAACCTCGGCCCTCTTGGACACCCTTTGTAGAAGCCCCTTATAGAGGAGGCGCCCATGGAAACCTCCCTGCCTCGTCATGGTGCTTTGCTGCTGCTTCAGCTCCAGAGGCTCGAGGGAGCAGGCTCCAGGAGGCCTGGAATTTCTCTGACTCTGCTGCTAACGTCCCAAGTGACCTCAGGCCACTCACTCCGACCTGCTGTGCTGTTCTCCTCATTTGTAAAGAGGGGAAATGACCCCTGCCCCCTGACAAACATCAGGAAGATGAATGAGATCTTGTCTGAAAAGGACCATTTTTGTTCTTAATCTGAAGTGGCACATAGCGATTGAATTTGGGGAAGCGGGCTAAGCTGAACGGCTCTCCCGAGGGTGGGACGATGATGAGGACCTAGAAAAGGCAGTTTTGTTGAGAGGGGAACTGACTGCAAGGCCAGTGAAGCATTCTTGTGCACTGATTGCTCCTGGCTGCAGGCTTCGTGGTGGGTGGGGGTCTTTAGAGCAGGCAGAACTCCGACTCCTGGAAAGGAAGTCTCCCCACTGGTCCACAAAAAGGGAAATCCAGAATCATGGCATGGGCAGCCGGCAGGTGGCGGAGGGCTGGGGCGCCTGCCTCTGGGCCCTCTGCTCTGGCCGCTTATTCTTGCCTTCTTGCTTGACTCCCCCCCTTGAGGCTCAGAAACCTCAGGGGTCTGAGGTTACTGGTCTGCAGAGCCTCTAATCCCGTCCTACAACGTACCATGCAGCAAGAGACTTTGGGTACTCTTAGCTTTCCCAGGACGCATCCTGGCCTTCCCAGCCTTGGGACGCCAGCTCCCTGGAGTCCCCTCTGCTGCTGAGCAGAGCTTGGGGTGGGGATGATCGAACCCAAGCAGTCCGAGCAGCCATCTACTTCGGGGCCCCAGATCTCTTTCTCTGAAAGAAGCAACCCTTTTATTATATTGCTTAGCTGAAAAAAAACACTGCGCTCCCCAGCTCTGTTTGCCTTGTCTGTTTACACAGCTGCCAACGTGCTTCTCTCCGAGCAAGGCGATGTGAAGCTGGCAGATTTTGGTGTGGCCGGACAGCTCACAGACACCCAGATCAAGAGGAACACCTTTGTGGGGACCCCTTTCTGGATGGCGCCAGAAGTGATCAAGCAGTCTGCGTATGACTTTAAAGTGAGTGGGAGGGTCTGACCTGCTGACACCGTGCCAGAGGAAGCCACGTCGTGGCTCTTAATTGTTCCCCGCATCCTCCACCACAGCCTTGTTCTCTGCCCCCCAGACCCACAAGCCGTCTGCCTGACATCCACGGTCCTGTGTGGATTCTCATTTCAGGCAGACATTTGGTCCCTGGGAATTACAGCCATTGAGCTGGCCAAAGGAGAGCCTCCCAACTCAGACCTTCATCCCATGAGAGTTCTGTTCCTCATCCCCAAAAATAACCCCCCGACCCTGGAGGGCCACCACAGCAAGCCCTTCAAAGAGTTTGTGGAAGCTTGCCTGAATAAGGACCCTCGCTTTGTGAGTATGCGCCTCCCTCTGCCCCGGGGGCCATCCAGTCCGAAAGCATGAGGGACCCCATGGTGGGGGGCGGGGCTGGCGCTCCCCTCTGAGCCCTTGTGCCCTGTCCGAGACCCCCTGCTCGGAGGGACCCCGGGGGGGGCTGGCGCTCCCCTCTGAGCCCTTGTGCCCTGTCCAGAGGCCCGCGGCCAGGGAGCTGCTGAAGCACAAATTCATCACTCGCTACACCAAGAAGACGTCCTTCCTCACGGAGCTGATTGACCGATACAAGCGCTGGAAGTCGGAGGGCCGGGGGGAAGATTCCAGCTCCGAGGACTCAGACATGTACGGAGCGGGCCCCTCTGGGGGGGGGCATGGAGCACGGGGCGTGGAGCAGGGGGCTCTCGTGTGGAGCCGCATCTCCATCCCTCTCTTGAATCCCTGCATCGTCTTCCTTACTGGATGATGGGAGACTCGAACCCCGGCTGAAGAAAAGAGCAGCAGCTTATGTCCTGCTGTCCTGGGGGGTCGTGAACCCTGGGTCTCAAGTGGGAGGTCTGCCCTATCACATCTTCCCCCGGACCTGCTGTCACTGGAACGTTGTGTCTTTCCTAGTGATGGAGATGCAGAGGATGGTGACCAGGGCCCCATCTGGACTTTCCCCCCAACCATTCGCCCGAGCCCGCACAGCAAACTGCACAAAGGCATGGCCCTGCAGGCCTCACAGAAGGTCAGGCTCTCACAGAGACTGGGCTGAGACAGGGTGGAGGAAGCGGGGATGGGAGGGCACGGAAGAAGGTGGTCCTTTTGGTGAAGGTCGTGGCCCCTGGGGTCGACACTGCCCTGCCGTGCTGTGGGTTCCTAGGCCCTTCCCTGGCTCTTGCCACTGAGCCTCACTAGCCAGACTGGACTGCCTTCACACACACCCCAAGGGCACACGTTCACACTGTTCATAGGCCGCAGCCCCTTCCCATACCTGAGCACAGCTTTCTGTCTCCTGAGGTTCCTCTCATCCAGGCCCACGGTGGCCTTTTCAGACAAACTGCTGTCCCGTCTCGCCTTCCACAGCCCCCTCTCCTGCATTTCATTTCATTACACTTGAGGATCCTTACTCTAGCAGCCGGTTTATTAGCCACCCCTCCCAGCTTTGTGTCAGCTTGCAAAATGAGGGACCCTGCCAGCCGCACCTTCCTCCAAGCCAGCTGAAACTCCTGTTTGAGGCACACGAGTAGTGCAGTGCATAAAACCCTGGGCCTGGAGTCAGGAAGACCCGAGTTCAAATCCAGCCTTAGACACGTGAGAGACAGGTGATCTTGGGCAAGTCACTTCACCTTTGTCTGCCTCAGTTTCCTCAACAGTGAAATGGGGTAATAACAGCACCTTCCCCTCCCAGGGTGGTGTGAGGATCCAGTGAGATCACAGGTGCCTGGTGCTATTACTGCGGGCTCGGCTGTACCCACGGTGGCACTGAGCTGCTTCTCTTCTGCTGTCAGTTGCCATCTTGGCCATGCTCCTGTTGGAGCCCAGAGCCCATGTGCCCAGGATGTCAGGGTTTGGTCAGGACATGCGTTGGCGGAGGAGGAGGGGGAGCAGGACCAGCCCCTGCTGCCTCTAGGGTGGCCTGTTAGGGGCGTGCCTCCCCCCGTGTGGCCAGGGTACCCCTGAGGCCCCTTCACCCTGTTGCTTCAGCCTTATTTCTCTTCTCCGTATTTCTTCCCTCGTGTGCTGGATTTGACACTGCCATCTCCTGCTACCACATATTTGCACGGGCCGTTCCTTGGCCCGCTGTTGGTGGTCCCACCTTGAACTTCCCTCACTCGTCCCCCAGGTCCCCCCAGGGCTGTTCCCCTTCCTGCCTCTCACTTCACGAGGGGGATCAGAGCTGCCTTGTTCCTGGAGTGGAGCTGGATGGACCCTGGGAGGAGACTGGGGCCATCACCCTTGAGTAATGGTCATAGCACAGGCTGTGTAAGGAGCTAACGGGGTGGGGGGTGTACTCTTAGCTCCCCACCCCAGGCAGGCGGGCGCGGCTGCTCCCTGCTTACTGTGCACTTCTCTTTGCAGTCTGCAGAACCCATCAAACGTCAGCCCCGGTCCCAGTGCCTCGCCACCCTTGTCCGGCCAGTCTTCGGAGAGGTGAGCCCTGTTGGGCGGGGAGCCCCTTGTCCACGTGCTCTTCCTGGGACAGGAGTGGTTGGGAGGAAAAAGAGAGCCCCGCCTTTGACTGGAGCAAAGTCATCCTTCTGAGTTAGTCCTTCATTTCTGCTCCTGCTTATCCTGTGGCAGAGTAAGGAGGGCAGGAGGGCAGGGAGAGCCCAGGATGAGGGCGGGCTGTTGTCCTTGGCCTCCAAGCCTCAGTCTTGCCCTGGGGCCCAGGGCTGCCCTCCCAGAGCAGGCCCTGGGGGCACCTGATGCATGACAGCTCCTATGCTTGGGTGCGGAGGCACCATTGTGGCTACTACCAGCTGGGAGATGGCTAGCCAGAGCCAGGGTGGCCATTGGCATGCTCTGAATGAGCGAGGTAGGGCTGTGATGTGGCAGCCCGAGAGAGAGCCCAACCTTGGGCTGCCCCGAGACCCAGGGGACACTATTGAAGCCTGCAGAACATCCCTGCTGTTGTCTTTTGCTTCCTCCTTAGGAGAAGAGGGAATGAAATAGCAGGGGCTTGGGACAGCCCGGCCTTGACGGCAGGCATGAGGAGGTGATGTCCCCCAGTAAGCTTTGCAAGGCTACCATCTATGTAGCCATGGGGATTCCATGTGCAGGCTTCGACCCGTCACCCAGTAGTCACCCATGCAGAGGGAAGGGAGGTTGGTGCGACAGGAGCAAGGAGAGGCAAGCAGAGGAGAGGAGGGACTGGGCCTGTTCCAGCCAAATGGCTGATTAGGTGCTGAAAAAGAATCCCTTCCACTCACTTGAAGTAGTATAACTGTAAAACAAAAATAAACGTCTGCACACGGCCCAGAAGAATGGGAGACTGTGGAGTATCAGGAAAGAGTGCAGCAAGCTTCCCCCTCCCCCTCCCCCCAAAAAGAAGAGAGGAATCCAAGGAGAAAAATCCCCGTGGATGCTTTTTCCAGACTAGGCAGGCCTAGGACGACAGGCTCTGGACGTTGGGGCCTGGGTCTGGCCCAGAGTGTATCACGGGGTTCTCCAGGGCAGGGCGAGGCTGTATACCAGGGCAAAATGCTCTGACCCCAAACTTGTGCTGAGGGCAGGAATAGGTGCCGACCGGCTGCTCTGTTGCCCACTACAAAGCGCTTAGCGTGGCGTCTGGCACGCAGGAGGCATTACTATTCGTTCTGTTACTGCCCAGTTCACATATTGAGGGTGGACTAAGGAACCGTTCTTGGGGTTGGGAGTCAAGGGTGAGAAGCAGTCCCGGCATTATCCTGGGGATTCAGTAAGGAGCGAGTTGAGAAGTAAGCAGCAGCTGTGTGGCGCGAGGTTGCAGGTCCAACCTCTAGTCGGAATCACCGGAGCAGGGATCTGAGAGCCAGCGGAAGCCTGAAGGCATCTCAGGGACTTTCCAGCTTGGTCGGTGGTTGGCTGAGTCCATCGGCAGTGTACTGGAACTCCCACCTGGGGCAAACACACAGGTGCTGTTGTTTAGACCTGGGGCATAACAGTCATGGACCGTAGCAGCAAGACCCTCTGCACGTAGAGAGTCTTAATAACAAAGTCCAGAGTCAGGAAGTAACTGGAAGAATGAGCCAAGAATTCTTCCTGTAGACGTCAGTATGGTGAGAGGGATGCTTAGAACACAAACCCAGAAGCAAAGGACTCCAGAACATCTGTTGGGTATAAAGTCAGCTAGAGTTGAAATAAGAGTTAAAGGTTGAAGAGTTTTTATAAATGAGAACATTTGAGGCAAAAGTGGGAAAAGAAATAAGGTCTATGGAAGAAAATAACTGGAAAGGAAATTAACAGTTTGGCACAAGAGGCAAACAAAGCAACAAACTACATGAAAATTAGATGGACCAGTGGAATTTAAGGACTCCACGAGGCAGCAAGAATAAAGTTGAAAGAGTGAAAAAAATCAAAATTGTAAGGTATAACGCAGCAGTTACAACTGATCTGAAAAACAAACTGAAGGGAGGTTTCAGTCACTGGACTACCTGAAACTGTGACCAAAAAAAGAGCCAAACATCCTGTTCAAGGGATCTTAAAATGCCCAGATCTCTTAAGCCCTAGAGGGAAAGTGGAAAGAAACACCACAACGAAAACTTCCAGGAGCCAAAATTCAGAGTTTCCAGGTCAAGGGAAAAAAAATACTGCAAGCAGTCAGAATTTAAATATCAAGAAGCCCCAGTAATGATTGCACACAGTTCAGCAGGAGGGGAGAGGAGAGCTTGAAATGGGGGAGAGTGGCTGCCATACCCTCACTCTCCTCAAAAGAGGGAAGAGTACCCACGTGACACAGGGATGGGAATTCATTCCACTAGGGAAATAGGAAAAGGGGATGAAGGGAGGGATTAGTCCTAAGAAAGGCAGACTCGAGGATGCATAAAAGTATGTATTAGCTCTCTTGGGGTAGCAAAGAATTGAAGGCCAAAGGAGTGTTGTTCTTCCATCAAAGAATAGTTGTGTTATAGAATATGAATGTGATGGAGTACTTTTGTGTTGAATGATGAAGTGAAACCTGGGAAGACTTGTATGAACTGATTTAGTGAAGTGAACCATTTGTACAAGGACAACAGTATTGCAGAGACAATTGCAAAAAGTTAGGAATTGTGATGACCAACACTGATTCCAGGGGACTCGTGATGAGGCAGACCTTAAAGAGACGAAGGACTCAGTGCAGCACAAATCCTGTTTTGTTTTTAAATGTGGCCAGTGAGAGCGATCGATAGCCACATAATTAGAGGGACATGTTAAAGTCTCTTGGGGGTGAAGCTCATGCTCGTCAGATTGGTAAAGCTGACAGGGAAAAATGATAAATGTGTGGCAGGGGGAGCAGTTGTAGGGAAGCAGGCATGTTAATGCCAAACAAATTATAGTGTGCTAATGTAACAATGTTATTGTACCATGAGAAACAGTGAAAGGGATGATTTCAGAGAAATCTGGGAAGGCTCTTTATGAAGTGAGCAGACCCAGGAGAACACTTTATACGGCAACTGTAAGAAAAAGAGTTAGCTATTCCACATGCTACTTTCCAAGCTGTCCTTGTCTGTGCTTCCTTTGGAATGAACTTCTTTTCTGTGCACTCTTTCCTTCACAACTTTTCAGTGGCTCTTTCTTCCCCACATTACTGTTGCTAACCTCCCCCTCTCTCCCCAGCTCCTTGCCTAAATGAAAGCCAAGGAGGGGGAAAATCCCTTGTCATAAAAAGTATTGTCAGCCATGGGGCCCCACATCCAAAAGCATCTCTTCCCTTCCTGTGTGTCCATCACTGCCCCCCAGGAGGAGGGGAAGGCTCCTCCTCATGGGGTGATGTCCGAGTAGAGTTCTTGAGTCTTTGCATGCTGCTGTCCCTGCTGATTACTGCCTTCAGGCTCTTCTGACCATTGGTATTAAGGATTCTTGGGATCAACTCTTGTCATTTCTTGAAGTTGAGTAATTTTCCATCTATTTGTAGACCACAGTATTTGTTGGGCTGCCCCCAGTGGATGTATGGCACACCCCACCCCAGGTTCTAGTTCTCTTTCTGCTGAAGTGACAGCTTGTCGTGGTGCATTCTCCTTAACCCCCGCCCACTCTCCATTTGTTTCTCTATGAAGTTAGATGCTTCCCCGCCCCCCCCACCCCAAACTTTGTGTGTTTTCTGTTGTCCATTTCAGGTAAGTGGAGGCTCATTGATGCCTGCCCCTTCCTCTAGGTTGGTATGCTTTTCTCCCTACACATTCCAGTTAAGAGAAAGGGCCAGTTCTGCCTCCTTTCTCCATTCTTCACTTGCACATCACTTTGACCCTCCCTTCTTTTCTCTTCTAAAAACCCTCTGAACAGAACCAACTCCACCCCAACACTGGCCCTGTTGTTCTCATTCAGTCCTCTTATTACTCTTTGAAGACATTAGGTTCTGAAGGGATCCATCTCCCCCAGCAGAATAGTAGCACTGCATCGTCATCCTGTTCTTGTAATTATTCTGATTGCTCAAGTATGTTGACCTTCCCGTGTCAGCCCTCCTATTCAGCTCTGGGATGGTCATCACACGCTTGCAGGGCCTCTGTTCCATTAAAGGTCAGCTTTTTCACTTCGCCGTTAAGGGTGAGTTCTCTGTTGTGCGCCTTTGTCATCTGCCTGGGTATGTTGTATTCCAAGATCTTCTCCACTCAGGGGTTGAAGCTGCCAGGTCTTGTGTAGTCCTCTGGTTTCTTAGGCTTTGGTGGTTTCTTTCTGGATGCCCACCACATGGTTTGGTTTTTGTTTTAACATGAGAGCTCTCGATTGGACTGTTCGAGTCCTGGGACTTGTCCTTGGGGGTTTCTTTCAATTGGTGATGCTCAGTGGATTCTTTCTCCTTTCAGTTTGCCCTCTGGTGCTCATAGATCTGGGCAGTTTTCATTAGTGATGACTTGAAATAGTGTCTAGTCTTTTTCCTTTTTTTAATCATAGTATTCAGGGAGTCTGTAATGATTCTTAAATTGTCTCCTCATCACTCGTTTTCCAGGTTAGGAATTTTTGATAGCAGATATTTGACATTTTTTCTAATTTTTTTTTTCATTCTTTTGATTTGAATGTTCCTTGCTCTCTTATGGAATCATGGATTTGTTCGTTCTGGTTTTTAAAGAGTATTCTTTTGGGTAAGATTCACCACTTTCTCTTCTAAGCTGTTCTGTTTCTGTCAGAGCTTTTAATCTTGTTTCATTTCTTCTAGGAATAAATGTAATCCTTGTGGAAAGTCCATTTTCCCCTTTGGTTCTCTGCTCTCAGTTGTTAAGGGGTCACTTCTTTGGGGATCTCTGGATCTGCCACCATTTTTTGCCTTGGTCAGTGTCTTCTGTGTTGACTCCTCCTCCCTCAGCTTTAATTCCTGCCAAGCTCTGCCTCAGGCTGCTGGTTTCGGCCTGTGAGTGGCCCTGTCTGTTGGTCTCCACCAGACTTGTCCCTCCTGGGTCTCTGAGATTCAGAGCTTTGGACCTTCCAGGCTTTGAAAGCCCGGGTGCCTGGTCTCATGGCCCTGGTGCTCCTGGGACAGGCTTTGCTGACAGCTCCCTTTCCTACTGACGTGGGTGATTCCATCGTGGAGGAAACCTTGGGGCTACAGTTTCTCCTTGGTGATCACTCACTCAGGGGCCAAGTTGAGGTTCTGCTAGAGTCTGTGTGTGCAGCAGGGCTGCAGCCCTCTTGGCCAGACCTCATGTTCTACATACAGGCTATTGGGGGGAAGTGTTTTCATTAGGCACCTACTGTATGCTGAGTTCACACTGTGTTGGAGGTACTTGTTCTGGGTCAAGACCTATGGTTTCATGAGTAGGATGAACTTTGTCTGCCAGCGTGGGCAGGGCCTTCGTCAGCCTCGAATGCTGCCTGGCACTGACAGGTTAAGTGACCTGCTTAGGCCTGGTGGATGGCTCACCTGGGCCAAGGGGCGCCAAGAAGGAGAGGAGAAGGTTGTGTCTGTCGTTGTAAAGCACTGAAGAGGCCCTGGGGGCAAGTGGGGCCAGCTAGTGAAGGGAGCCTCCCAGAGACACTAGGGATTCACAGGTGATGAGCGAGCCCCTGTGTGGAGGAGGGTGGTCACGGTGGTGGGGGCGGTTTGACTTGCCTGGCTTGTGCTGCCTCCTTTAATCCAGGCAGTGCCAGGGAGGTCACATGCAGGCAGACTCAGGAGTAGCAAGTGTCGTTCCCCCAGGAGCCCAGGGTCTTGCATGATGGACCCTTCTCCAAGCCCTGGCAGTCTGCCTGGCATGCTCACTGACTGACTTTGCACAGCTCAAAGAGAAGCACAAGCAGACCGGAGGCAATGTGGGAGCCATGGAGGAGCTGGAGAACGCCTTCAGCCTTGCTGAGGAGTCTTGCCCTGGCATTTCTGACAGACTGATAGCACATCTGGTGGAACGGGTCCAGAGGTGAGTCACTCTGGAGCAGCAGCGATGGCAGGGCTGGCATCTGTCACTGTGTCCCTTGGGGTTGGGCCACCAGTCGGGGGTCTCCAGCTTCTGCCTCAGAGCTATTGTTTCTCCCCGGCTGTAGCCTGGGCAGTCGTGGGCAGGACCCACAGAGCTGACACACTGTGCACGTTGCCAAAGGGCGGCTCTCTCCCCCACAGGTTCTCCCACAGCCGGAACCACCTGACGTCGGCTCGCTGACGGGTCGGGAGGGAGGCCGGCAGTGGGCCTCTCCCTGACTTCCTAAGAACTGACCTCAGAGCCGTTGGGTTCTGCATCCGTGGCCCCCATTGCAGGCGCTGCCAGGCCGGGCTCCACGGCTGCCTTTGGACGCGTCACTTGGTGGAGAGCTGTTGTCGTTTTCGTCATTGTCATTATTCCTGTTCTAAGCGAAGCTCATGAAAGGCTGGGACAATGCCTGCCCGTGGGGGAGGGGCTGGGCATCTACCGAGGGGGGTGGGGGGTGGGGGTGGTCAGGGCTGGCTGGCCAGGCACTGTCTGCCCGACTCACCAGGTACAAGCCGAATCAAGCAACTGGTCTCTGCTCAGTGACGTTCTGGGAAGAGCTGGAACCTTTATCCGGAGCCTGGCACTGTGTGGCTGCTGAAGGTGGCCCCAGTGCAGCCCGGTGCCCTCCCTCTGCCAGGATGCCAGATACACGGTTCCTGGGAGGAGGGGCAGGAACCCCACGTGCCCCCCACCCCTGCCCAGCCCAGCCCTCAGACTTTGTCTTGTTTGTGATGGTAGTTGACGCCTTTGTGGTATTGAATCAGGCCCCTCGTCTTCCTCCCACACACGCCAGAATCACCCCAAACAAAGGGGTTTTTGGTGGAGGTGGTTTGTTTTTTAAAGAACTAGAACCCTCACTTGTTTCCTTCAGTATTCAAAGATGTTGGTTTTCAAAGAGCATTGAAAGGGACCGGCCACTTTCAATAAAGACGACCTGAGACCATGGGGTGTCGTCTACTGTTTCTCCTCATCAAGATCTGCTAGGGAAGGGACCCCCGGCTTCAGCACAGAGCTGGGAGGATTTCTGGCAGGTGAGGGCCGATAACTGAGGCAGGACCCTTCCCCTCAGCTGCTGGCCTCTGCAGTCGTGTGGATGCACAAAGGCACGGTGTGCCGGGGCAGAGCTCGGTGAAGTTGGCCCATAGGGGTCACCGTTTTCTCCCCACTGGCCATCCAACCTGATCCTGCTTCTTAAAGTGGGTTACTGGGCGGGCAAGTGATGGACTGGCAAAGAGCCTTGGACAAAGTCAGCAGTGACCATCCCACCCCAGAAAACGACCTGTCAGAGTACTTCATACATGAGAGTAATAGGCAGCGTCCCACAGTTGAAGAATGATGACAGGCTCTGTTTGCGGTGAGTTGGCGTTTATTTCTAACTATATTTACACACATTAGCAAAGTCTGTCTAGCAAATACAGAGCTGTACATCTCAAACCAATTTATGAAACACGTTAGGGCACTCACCAATAAATTAAAAAACATTTTGCTCGTAACAGATGTTCTGTCGTTAGGACGCTGCGGTAACAAAACATGAAGCTTTTGACATTTGGCTTCCCATAAGAGGGATGGAAAGGTGTCCAATGAAGGAGGAATTCCAAGAGTGCCTCTATGAGCTGGGGCCCTCACGGTGCTCCCCCCACACCCATCCTGCCCCTCTTGCCTTAGGCCCACCCTCCCACGGACCTCCTCCACCGATGCTGCAGCCCCAGGATCAGGCTCCCTCCCTCCACCCTGGGGGTGGGGCCTTGCCTTTGAAGCTGCTTCAGGCCGTTCAGGCTCTGCCGAAGGGCTCCCAGGTGCCCTTGCCCAAGCATGAATGAAATGACGACATCCCCATGGGCACACACTTGGCCCCGGGGTCGGGTGATGTGTAATTTTTGGCCAGACCTGTATCAAGCTAGCACCTGTCCAAAAATGCGCAACACTGTCCTTTCCTTAATCCTCACCCCAAACCTCAGAAGGAGGTGGCAGGTACGATTCACTCCATTTCAAACACAAGGAAACTGAAATCGAGGACACCTTCAAAAGCAGCTTCCAGGCCAAGCCTGGTCCATCCAACATCCTTTCCCCACATCGACATACGCTAAAGCTCCACCAACCCTACCAAGCACTCTCTTGGGGGCTCTTCCAGCCTGTGTGAAGATGGAGGGATGCTGTCCCTGGCACATCTGCCCTAGGTGCCCAAGCCTGTTGTGCTCAGGGAGCAGCAAAAAGGTGCGAGGAACTTCAAGGGCCAGGGCCCCCATGCTTGACTTTCCAAATACCCTGAGCGTTGCTTTCTTGTCCCTGTGTGACCCAGACTTCCTACGAGGATAGGGGAAGTCTGGGGAAAATACCTTGGCCCTGAAACCCAGAATCACGTGCCCTACAACGAGGGGAGGTGGAGTCAGAGTATAGGTTTGAGATGCTGTCTGGGTGACTGTGGACAAGTCTCTTCACTCAGCTGGGCCTGGCTCCTCCCTTCCCCAGGCCCCGGCTCTGGTCCCAGTCCCCTCTCCCATGACTCCTCTTCCAGCACCCAGCCCTTTTCCCTTTCCCCCCTTATTAATAATGTCCAGCTCCAGCCTCCACATGGGACCTCGGGCGCCTCCCGTCAGTTGCTGTGGACGTCTTTGTCATCACTGGCCATCACCAGGCTACTTCTCCCAGGAGAATTGGTGGCTCTCTTGATCACTTCCATCCACCTGGGAGAGAGATGGTGAGAGTCTTCGTGACCGGACAGGAAGACGGGGAGTCAGAGAAAAACAAGCAAAGCCAACAACTGTTCCTTTCCAAACTCTCAACAGTGTCCAGTACCAGGAAGTCCATCTTTAAAAAGCTGTTGAGGGCCTGTGGGCCAGCCCTGAGCTGAAGCCCTCGCACAGACACAGCCCCCTGGGGACACGGCATTGACATCTGTAGGGGGTCATCCCTCCAATGCTCCCTGGCTACACTCCCCTGGACAGGAGATGAAATAAAGACCCTGGGGCCCCTCCCCGGCAGGAGGGGAATTACCTCTCAAATGTGTATTTGCTTTCAGCCCTGAAGAAGTAGACGTGAGATTTGAACTGAAGCTTAAAGACAAAATCCTTGTGAAAGCCATCTGCCTGCCCGGGGATGCTGACCGTGTAGCCCAGCAGGGGAAGACTGGCCAGCGGGTAATCGTCCTAGAAAACAGCCACAAGTACATGCTAAAAGCCTGCCTGGCCAGCCCTGTCCTCACCCTGGGTGCCCTGCTGCACGTGCGGGGCCTGGGAGAGCCCGGCGGAGCCGTCTCTTGGAGCGGAGCACTCTGGGAATCCATGGGGCTTGTACAGGCTCACTGCCCAACCGACCGCCTCTGCTGCCTCCTCCGCCCATCCTTGCCATCTACAGCCCCATCAAGCCTCTGGTGAGCTAGGCACACTTGCCCTCCCCCACCCCAGTGGCAGCCTGGGCATGCTCTTGGTACCTGGTGAGTTTTGTAGAAAAACAGGCAGAAATTGGTGAAGACCACCCAGAGCTTCTGCCAGCCGCTGCTGTTCTTGAACTTCCTCAGCAGGTATCCTGAGAGCTGGTTCTGGGAGGGCACGGGCACTGAGTTAAGGTGGCGGCAGGTAGCCTGGCCCCTCCCCCTCCTCCCCCAGGCACCTGGGCACCCAGGGCTTCTGCCTCAGTTCTTTTCTCGTGTCTCAGCACCATCACAGATACTGAGGACCCCAGGCAATGAGCGCACAGATGTGTGAGCTCAGCACAAAGGACAGCAGACGGGGCTCACGAGCTCTGAATTCCAATGTGGCATCCACTACTTCCTAGGTGGGTGACTGTAAGGAGGGTCTGCTCCCTCATCAGTAACACAGAAAGGGCGAGGAGAAAGGGACCGGACCTGTGTGTGCCCCAGGATGGCAGCCAGCCCCCGGGTGGGCCATCTTGTCAGACTCATGAACACCCAGCATGGAGACAAGAGAAAAGGCCACAAAGAGACAAGACACCAGAAGACAAACACCAGAGAAAAGTGTGGAAGGTTTGAAGCCAAGCCAGCCCACCCCACCCCCTAGCCAAAAATGCCGTCAGAAGCTGGTGACCAGGCAAGGACGAGGCTTCCACCAACACCACCACTCGGAGCCTTGGGATCCCGCTGGTCATGTGGCCGCCCCGGCTAGGCTGGGCTGGGCTGGGGGACGGAACCCTGCCCATCCTGCCCACAGCCATCAGGGGCTCACGAGACTCCAAACCTGAAAGCACCGACATGAGTGTGCGAGGTGCCCGGGAGAGAGGCAGAAATCTATCTCTACGGAGTCACCGGAGTTTTTACCTGAATCATGCACAGGTAATCTGGGAGGGAGAGGCTGTGATTCCGGTACCAGCATACATGGGTGATTGTACTGGCCTTGGGGCCCTGGCCCAGCAAAGAGCGAGGAGGGAGCTCTGGAGAAACAGCAAGAGAGCAGAGAACTGAGCGGGACGGACGAGAGGACGGATGAGGGCAGTCCGACAGCAGGCAAGCCCCTGGCGAGCGGCACAAACGGAAGCGACAACGCGTGACACCAATGCGTTAAAGAGAAATCACGGAGACAGCAAAGGTCCGAGGCTCAAGGGGATTGGTGGGGGGGGCAGCTCGGCCTGGCCTGGGCACCAGCTGCCTTCCTACACTGGGGTATTCTCCCCAAGCATCCCCAAAGCACCTGAGACCTTCAGGAAGGTCTGATTTCCCCCAGGACCTGGTGGTGGGCTTCCTGACCCATCTCATTGCTTAGGAGCTGAGTTACTGACCAAATAAGGTCTGGGGGAGGCAGCCCCCATCGGCAGAAAAGAGGCCTCAAAGACAGAGACAATTGTAAAAGCTCCCTGGTAATCAGGGCATAAGGATGTTTGCACACACAATGATTCTCTCTTCTTTTGCCACAATTTCACAGAATTTCAGAGGGAAAAGCAATTTAATTTAGCCCCAACCTCTCATCTGGGAGCTCGCCTCACTAATGAGGCTGTTTAGCCAGAGGGCTCAAGAAATAAAGTATGATTGGCCCCCATCCATCCCCGCAAGGGCTCCCAGAGGACGCAAGGAGAGGGAGGCTTAAGGCAATGCCCTGCAGTAGCCACCCTCGCTCGGCGGGCCGGGCCATATGGGCACCCTCCGTGGCCCAGTTCAACGGGCCTCACCCAAAATCTCTAACAGGAGAGGCTCCTCGGGTGATCTGCCTCCAGGCAGTCACAGACATCACAAGTGGCCATGCCAGCAGCAGGAGGGCCTTGGCTATCCACCAAGGGAGCTGCCCGGCAGGGCAGGCCTGGTGTAGGGAAGGAGCCTGGGCTCTGCGGACGGAGACCTCCACTTCCTCCCCTGTTAAATGAAGGGGCCCTTTGCATGATTCTGAGTGCAGTGCCTGGCACAGGGAGGAAGACGGCAGAGAAGCTCTGGGCCGGAAGTTATTGAGGCAGTGGGCTCTGCAAGGCAGCAGCCCCTCAGAGACCTCAAGTGATCACGTCTGTCTGGGTTAGTGGCAGTGGTGGCCATGGTGAGGAGCCAAGACAGCTCCATCTCCTCACCGTCTTCTGGCCTACAGCAAGGCACAGCCGCTCCCATCACATTTTTCATGCATAGGTGCCCGTACACACATACACACGTATGCCAAGTGGATGTGCCATCTAAGCACGCGCTCATCCATCCGGCCCGCACCCCTCCGGCATTCCCTCCAGGCCAGGCTCTGGGGGGAATGTTCTCTGGCTGCCTGGGGCCTGGCCACACCAGAACTGCCTCTGCTGACCACACAAATAAGATGAGAAAATGAGAAATGAATGGAGAGCCCCAGAGCACGGGGACTGGCGGGCTCCCAAGGAGCCAAGTGAAACAGGCAGACAGTGAGGAAGAGATGAGGCGTCAGTCCCAGTGGGTACCTCAACAGCCACACTGTGGTCAGTCATGGAGACGCTGGTGTTGCGGTACCAGCACACGTGCATGGTGGTGTTGGCCCGGTGGTGATTCTGCCTGTCCAGGGAGCTATGGGAGGAGTGAGCATCCTCTTCTGATTCCTGTTCTAGAAAGACCTCGCCAGAGGGTCCTGGGGGAGGAGAAGGGAGCAGCAGCTGAACCAGATGGGAGGGAGGCAAGGACTTCTCCTTGAAGAACCAAACAAACACGCTCACCAGGGCATTTACAGAACTCCATGGCCCCTGGACCTGAACTGGCCAGCTCTAATGCAGGAGTGCGTGTGCCCCCACGTGAGCCCATGTGTGCAGGAAGCTTCCACAGAGCGCAGGGGCATTAGGGAAGGGCCTTCCACAGCACCGTTAGGATCAAAGGAGTGCTCGGCTCCTGCAAACCCACTGGCAAGAGAAACGCCAAGGCAGCTGGCCAAGGCGCGTGAGGACCCCCAAGCTGGGCCAGGAGACACCAGAGCCTGGCCCCCCGCCCCCAACTCTGGAGCGGGCTCTTCAAAGGAAGAAGGCAACGGCACTTACCACCGGTGTCCAGGAGCACGAAGGGCTTGTCCCCGGACTTGGCCACCTCAATGGCCAGGCTTAAATCATTCATCCATTTGCCCATTTCTAGCCGAGTGCTACGAGAAAGAGAGGGGATGGCTCACAACCCCTGAACCCACCACAGACACATGAGAAAGGGCAGATCCAGGATGGGGGGCACTCAAGTGTACCCCCCGGCTTCCTGGGCAGGCTGCCAGCTCCCTGGGGCCCATCAGGCTTGGAGACTTGTCTGGGACCAAGAGAGGGAAAATAATTTCCCCGATGTCAGTGGAGCAAGTTGGGGTCTTCCCACTCCAGCTGTAAGAGGAGGGGGGGCCCTCCAGGCAACCTCAGGCTTCTGGGGTGAGAAGGGGAGGATGCAATGGCATTAACCCAGCACCTCCTGTGTGCCAGACACTGTGTGAAGCACTTTACACCTGTTATTCCACTTGATCCTTACAACCACCCTGGTGGGCAGGTGCCATTATCATCCCCTTTTACAGGTGAGGAAATTGAGGCCAGCAGAGGGCCAGCCACTTGGCCAGACGCCTGGCTAGTTGGGCCCTGGAGCACCGCGGTGCCCCCTGCTGGCCTCAGTCAGTCAGTAAGCCCTGCCAGTGGGGTTCAGCCATCACGACTCGGGGGTGGCGGGAACGGAGGAGACGTTACAGGGGACCCTCGTCAAGTCCTGCTCCCCTCGGCCTCCTGGCTCCTTGTTCTGCTGCCCCCCAGCGCCCGCCCCGGTCTGAATCCCGCTGGGCGCTGCACGGCCAGAGCGTACCTGGCGGCCACGACGACGTCTTTGGGACGGAGTAAATGGTGAAGCAGTGGGGCACGGACCATTCGCTGTCACTCTCTTCCACCTGTGGGCACAAGGGTGAGCTGGGTGAGGCTTGCCCTGACACCTGTTCCCCACGGTTCCCCAAGGGCCCTGCGGCCCACTACTTCAGGTCACAAGCACTGCCTGGGTCAATCTACTCTGGGTCTAGGAGGCAAAGCTACAGGTCAAGCACTCCAGCGGCCACGAGCGGCCGAGCTCCCTTCTTACTCACCGGCGGGTCCAGCACTATTAACTGTAAAGCAAGCACAGGGGACAGGTGTCATCGTGAGCCCCGAGGGGCCTGGGCTCAGCCCTTCTGGGCAGCGCCCGCGGCTGCGGCACCCCGGCCGCCCGTGGGTTCTACTCACCAGCATGCCGTGCAGAGGCAGCTGACCGTGGATCTTGAAGTGGTTGGTCCCCGTCACTCCCTTGCTCGTGTACAGCAGCATGTCTGAGAACTGAAAGACAGGAAATGGTAGCGAATCCCCCGACGACCTTGATGAGCTTCGGGGCAGGACCCTTGCTCCCTCACTTCAGTAAGCGGGACAGAAGCGCCCATGAAAAACAATCCCTCCAAAGCGAGGCCAACGCCAGGGGTGGTCGTGGGAGGTAGAGGGGGCTTCCCCAGGGCCCCGGTGGTTCTGGACGCCCCTTGGTCTAGTATAGAGAGCTCTGGGGCCGTCCAGAGATCACAAGGAAATCATCTGAGGCTGGTGACAGCACAGTCCACTGTCCTAGGACTCCAGGTGGCTTTGTGTAGCACCCATTCGGAACTTGGAGCATGGCCCTGGGGGTGGCCATGGGAAAAAAAGGCCTGCCCCTGACCTGTTACTGGCATCGTAGCCTGGACATGCTCATGCACAAGAATTCCACCCTGCTGCAGGTTCATTTCTTGGGAGGCCCCATCAGGGCCTTCTCGGTCCTGAGCCTGAGCCCCCTCCAAGCCCAGGGGGACCACTTACCAAAAAGAACATTCTTTGTTGGAAGCCCTTCTTGGTAAGCTTGTACAGACAGCCTTCTCGGATAAATTCCTGAGACACAAAAAGAGAGAGTTTGGCCCGGCACCGAGGGAAGAGCACCCCTGTCCTTCAGACCGAGGTTGAACGTGTATGTACACACGGGGCCCAAGGCCTCGACGGCCCAAGGTAGGGCACCCCAGCCAATTCTAAGGCAGTTCCTTCTCATTAGGAGTTAGCAAATACCCTGGATGTGTACCCTGCTTTGTCAAACATTACGCCTCTTCTCGAAGTGGGCACACTGCTCCTGTCACAGTTTTTGCTGTGTTCATGGCAGCGTAAAAGATCCCGGGGTTTGCGGATGGCTCCTAGTCTGCCACCTAACACCCATGAGACCTTTCCTCCCGGCTTCCTCAGGAGCAGCCTTGTGTCTCTCGGGATGGGCTGACTAAAGAGGCCATCTGGGGAGCAGCACAGGGAGGATTACTCAGATTTGGCCAAGTCTTCCATGCTCTTCTTGTGAGCAGATGGAGAAATGTGAGCTGGAAGAGGGAATGAGGAGGGGGATATTCGGAACTGGCTGAACATCCAGACCTATAGCACCGTCACCAGTGGCCTAGGAACGGGTCTCTGCAGGCTCTGGACTGGCTCACATTTTCACCAGGGCACTGGAGGGAGGCACAGATGGAATTCTATTGAATTTTCAGGTGACATGTAGGAGACAGGTATCATGAATGTCCTGGATGGACAAAGTCAGGGTACAAAAGATCTTGACAGGCCACAAGGTCAGGCCAAACTACAGATCAATGTAAAGACTTCTACCTATCTGGGTTTGGAAAAGAATTAGCTTTACAAGCGTCTGAGATGGGGGATTCATCTGAAAAAGATCTGGGATCTTAATGGACCAAGAGTTCAACAAGTCATAAATCAGCCTTGGTCAGACTTCTAAAGTCCTGCATTCAGCTCTTGGTCTCATGTTTCAGGAACGACAATGAAAAGCCAGAGAGTGCTGAGGAGGACAACCAGGAGAGTGACCAGCTTGGAGCTCAAGCCTCAAGAGGATCAGCTGAAGAAACAGGGGCTCTTTAGCCTGTGGAAGAGGCATAGCTGTGTTCAAGTATTTAAAGGATTATGGAAGAGAAAGATGTCTGCTTGCCGCAGCAGGGCAGAAGGGAGCAGTTGGAAGCGTTTCCAAAAGGCACCTTGAGGCCAGAGGTCATTGACATCTGCTTTTACCCAACTGTCCCAAAGTGGAATGAGCTGCCTTGGGGGAAGGCCAGGGGACCCTTCTATTGGGGTTGTTGTCGAGGGGAGTTCAGGGACAGGTTGCAAGAGGTCCCTTCCAAACATGAAATGGCCTCTACAAAACAGGAGTGTCCATCTAGGTCATGCAAAGGTAGCGTAAGAGCTGTTGAAAGTTCCTCCAAGAGGGTACAGCCTGGCCTCCTCGTGTAGGCATTCAAGCAGGACAGAACATGGGAGCTGCTGGAGCACCAGGGATTTCCTCCCCCTTGAGCTCTGAGCCCCACCATTGCCACACACACCACACAGCTCTGCCCCAACTGCATCTCGTCTCTGAACCAGTCCTGAGCTCAGGCCTGGGAATTACTGAATGATGGCTTGGATCTTTACATGTCAGCTGGGCTCACGAAGGGTTGGGGTACAGATGCTCTAAGATAAGTGATATGTGGAGGGCAGATTCACCTTGGATTTCAGGCTTGTGGATGTTTTGTTTAGACTAATATGAAAACCAGTTTACTGTCCCTGAGCACATATCAGACTGAAGACCGATCCAAGAATGTCCTGACTTGGAAAGAAACATTTTCCATGGATGAATCCAGATGCAATTAAGCAAAAAGCTGCTTATATTTGAAAACCAACCGATGCTGAAACTCGCCCAACTCAGAAGGAAATGGAGACGTTCAGAGAGAGGCCCCCAGATCACAAGGGTTTGGGGTCTTTTGAATGATTTGATTTGACTGTGAATATGGAGAGCCTTGAAGTGATGCCTGTTTCTCAAGGACAACAGTGAGGGCTTAGAATAATTCAGAAATGCAAACAATGGAAAACCATGCCAAATCCATTCCCTGAGCATGGTGGCTTTTCATCACATTGCTTTGCCCCGGCACAAGCCCAACACACCAGACGTTTCATATCGAAGGGTCTATGCACAGGCTTACACATACCTATACACACACATAGGCCCAGACCTGTGACCTCCTCTCACAGAACTATGGGGTCACTGACAGAATCTGCAGCCCAAGGCTCTCCTACAACTGATGCTGCATTACTGCCCTAGAAGGAATTCCCACTCCTGGACATCCGCAAGTGCTACCTGAGGCCCCTGGCACTAGGGTAACTTGCCCCCACATACATGTGCATTCACATATATACACATCTATAGAGATGAGAACTTTAACATATGTAAATAGGAAAAATCCCTGCGGAAGCCTTACAATTCTTTGGTTATAAGATTGGATAGTTTCACCCATTACAAAAGGAAAGTTTAGTCACGGAGGGGCTCTGAAAAGGCACTTGCCCTGCCTGGGATGACGAGGTTGTCGATGCCGACCAAGTCATGCTGAAGCTCTGTGAGTTTCTGAAAATTCTCCAAGCGGAGGAGGCTGCTCTGCAGCCGTGACGTCATCTCTGAGATCTCATGGAGCGCCCCTGTAAAGGAAGGGTATGTCATGCATCCTAATCCCAATTACTGTCACCAAGGAGCCGGACCCCTGGCCTGTAAGAGAGGATGCTCTGGCAGAGTCTTTATCTCCTGAAGCCTCTACGCCCTTGGGGCATTCCGGCCCAAAAAAACTTTTCCTATTTCAAAGGATCAATCACCAGCGGCTGTAACTCAGCCACCTGTAACATTCTCTACAGCCCATGAGCTCTGAAACTTTTATTGTGCCCCAGACCCCTTTTGGAGTCAGTCTGGTGAAGCCTTAAGAGCCCCTTTGAGAAACTGTTTTTAGGCTCCCAACGAGAGACTGGACGTGTCTGGCAATGGTCTTTATCTAATACCATTTTCATATGCCCTGATTTTTACCTAATTATAATTTGTCAAAATCAGTGCCTCCACAGGATTCTGGGAGTCCTCCTGTGGATTCCTGTACTGGGCAGAGGAATGAAAAGGTATTTCTTCTTATTTCTTTTTTGTCTGGTACGTTTCTAATTGCCATAATTGTATTTGAGAGGGATCTGACTTCCTCTAAGTCCTAGAACACTGTAATCTTCCCGTAAGCCACTTGGCTACATATACATTTATTAGCAATATTAGTGTAGAAGTCCTTTTCTATTCCCTGTTCTTTCCTAATTTGAAATCAGCACTATATATGTATAATATAAAGAACTTAGTACAGTATCATTTTCCCTAATTAAAATGGTTTTATAGCATTGTTATTATTCATTAGTTGAATGTTTAAGTGAATTAATTCATGAGTTATTAGGGTCATTATTTTTGTTTTTATTAGGGCAAATTGTTAGTTACATATTTGATATGTAACAAAATTTTTTTCTTAAAATTTTTTCTCCTTAAAATTTTAAAAATCAAATTGTGTATTCCATGGGTTGTCAATTTGGGAATTTTATATCCTTGTAGATACTCATCTACTTCTTAAATTATTTTTTGGGTATTAATTATGTGGAATTCTATGTACTTTTTTCAAATTTTCTCCATTAAAGTTAATTCCCTTTCACTCTTAAAAAAAAGAAAAACTTTTTAAAAGCAAAAAACAAAATCCATGAAATTACAAAAAAACCCAACTATATAATTATAAACATATTTTGAAATGTTTGAATGTTTGAAATGTTTGAAAAAAACAAGTTCATGGACCCCAGGCAAAGAACCCCTGCTACAGAAAGGAACAATTAAAGTTCAAACTAGTACCTTGAGTCAAAAAAAAAGTTATAAATGAAAACATTTACTGAGATAAAATTTACCTAGCACTTGAAGGTTTGCAAAGCCCTTGGTCTGCATCATTTCATGTGATAATAAATCCTTCCCCCAACACCGTGAAGCCCTGGGCTTAGGAGGGTGGAGGTGGCAGCCGCTGTTGGACATGACATGGCAGAGTCACCGCCCAAGCTCCCCAGTCAGCCCCTCCATGCCTTTGCCTAAATGACTGCCCATCTCTGAAAGGTACTGTCATCTCTGCTTCACAAAAGGACAAAGTTGGTGCCCATGCTTCAACAGGCTTTTCTAGATACTCCCCAGGGATGGATGCTCTCCTCCTTGCCCCCCAACCCCATCCCCTGAACGCTCCCTGAGGATGAGGCCTGTGCCGCACCAAGACTCTGGCAGCCGCCTGGATCTGTGGGGTGAGAGCCGAGAACCAAGGAAGATGTACAGCAAGGGGTGAGTCAGTGTGCCTGGGGCAATGGTGGTACCATTGATGGTATTCACAAAGCTGGGAAGAAGGGAAGGTTCATTGCAGTTTCAGATGGCATTTCTCTTTCCTGTTGTTTCCTTCCAGTTATTACTGATGATCTACTGAACGGTAATGATTTTTTGTGTTTGTTTTATAGTCCTGCTCTTGATCTGAAGCTATTTAGGTTAATTTTGTTGTTAATGATTCTCTGGGGGTTTTGTAAGTATATGATTAGATTATCCATAAACAGATATTTTGGCCTCTTTTTTTTTTTTTTACCAATATTTATTCTTTTAATTTCCTTTTCTTGTCTTACTGACATAGCTAATATTTCTGGAACTATGCAGAATAATAATGGTGACAGTGAAAAGTTTTGCCTTGCTCCTATTCTTAAGGGGCAAGGTTCTAAGGCTGCTCCATTATTTATGATTCTGGGCTTTTGCATTCAAATACATTTTTTTTTCATATTATTGAACCATCTATCACTATGTCTTTTAGTGCTTTTTGCTTAAATAGATGTTAAATATTATCAGTTTTTTTCTCTATCTAGTAATAATAAGTAATAATCGTTTCTGCATTGAATCATCATTGCATTCCTTAAACAAGTAAAACTTGACCATAACGAATGACTCTTTTTAGATATATTACTGCATTCTATTTATCACTACTTTAATGTTTTTATAGCAATAGTCATTAAAGGTACAGGTCTATGGTTCTCTTTTTCTGTCTTATCCTTCCTTGATTTGAGGATTAGTACCATACTGGACATAGGAATTATTTATTCTCTAAATGTTTCAAATAATTCATTTGCAAATCCATCTGTTTCTGGTGGTGCTGTTGGGTTTTTTGAAAACAAGGCAGTTTTTAAATGGCTTGATCCATATTATCTATTTGTTGTCTTGACAGCTGGGGCACAGCTTATATCATTATAGATACCCATCCATTTCTTTCATATTCCCAGTTTTGTTAGCATATAGTCTGTACTAATGCATGAAATTCTGATAATCTCCTTTACTGAATCTCCATTCATTGTGATATGTATACCACATATTTTGGCATTTGATTACATACTATATTCCCATGCACTGTTCCCTAATTTAATATGTCCACAGTATAACTGAGTTTTACATCTGAAAGAGGCCTTATGGAGCATCTTGTTTCATGTGTTTAAGATATTTCGTTCTAATAAGGATGTAAATCCTTGAGGCGGAGACTGTGGCATATTTTGTTTTCGGCTCCTCAATGGATTCCTGGTGGTGTTTAATAGAAGCTCTGTAAAGTTCTTTAGTGGATTCGTGATCTCATTTCCATGAGTATTCCCTCTCTACTGATGCACAAAGCTTTCCTATTCCAGTGCATGGGATGCCTCGGTGGAAGCCCGCAGGAATACCAGGACCCCTGCGGCAAGTGTTCCCATGACCCATTCACCCCAGCAGGTGGCACATTTGGAGTCCCTAGGGGTCACTACCAGGTGACAGTTCTGCAGCTCCCCAGAGATTTTCATCAGTGCCAACCTGGTTTGCTTCTTGGAGGGGGTTGTCAACTTTGCCTTTCCCTGGCCACAAGCTGCCTGGCCTAACCTAAGGTACCATGGGCTGCACGCAGCCCACCAGGCCCATCAGTCTGTGCAGAGAGAAGATCCATGCCTCGTGAAGGTAACTGTCCTGAGTAGGGGTGCACCTCCCTGGGCAAACACAAGGGAAGCTTGCTAAAAATAAAAGAGAGTACATTCGGAGTAAATGCAACATTTCACATCTCCTAAGACGTGCCAACATTTCCCTGGCAAGCTGCTCTTTCTACACGTGGCCGACCTTGAATGTTGCTGCATCTTAACTGAAGATGAAATGAATGGGACTCCTGTCCCGCCCCTCGCCCCACGGCAAGGATCTTGCACCTGGCATCTCTTTAGACACAGATGCTGACTCACTCTTCAAAGCTCACAACTAACAGTATGGAGCCAGGTCCTTAGGCAAACTGGAACCCTGAAGTAGAAGCTACATTCTGGTCTGAAAAGAGCCCCCGTGGACCATCTCATGACTGCCCGGCAGCGACACAGGGGAGGGGCTCCTGTAGAGTTTCCACTGGGCATCAGGGGTTCACAAGGATCAAGTCAAACCTACCCAAACAAGTGGCGGCCATCTGGCCTCTCACAGAAGGGAGCCCCCATCACCATAAAGATGAGAGTGGATCCCCCCTTAACCAATCCCTGCCCTGCTACCAGCTCCCCTGCTGAATCTGCCTTTCTGAGCTTCCCTCAGACTTACTCTTGCAGTCTGGATAGTCTGGGTGGCCCGGCAGGTAGTGTCTGCATAACCGCCCCAGGACCAGCTTGTAGTAAATCAGTCTCTGAATGGGCTTGAGAAGGAAAGTGTTAAGAGGCAAATAGCACACTTTCTGAAGTTCAAATTCCTTATACACCATCTCCAGCTTCTTGAGGCATCTGGTAGCCTTTTCCAATTCTGTAAGAACTTGGTCATGTTTCTGAAGATAGCTGGTAAACTCCTGTAGAATCACAAAGGGAAAGGATGAAGATACACTAAGCAGGCCTATATGTGGACTGAGAAGGGCAGGCCACTCCACTGGACCTAGCAAGAAAAAACAACAAACCAGGAGAATGCTGACAAAATAAAACCAAAGTGCACAGCACACAAGCCACTTCCTTCAAGAGGTGCATAGAGAGGGTTGGGCTGTTGGAAATGCAGGAAAGAGCAGGCATCATTCCCTCTCTTTTCACAACACAAATAAAACCTGCATGCTTCTTCATCCTCAGGGTGACCACGCTCCACAAAGTTGCATGACCAGAGTTCAGCAGCCCCACAATAAGGGCAGCCTTCCCGCCGGATAGGAGTGTGAGTGTAAGAAGGATTTTAGGGGGTTGGGCTTCCACAGCAGGATAAGAAATTCTAAGATCTTGTGGACAGTTCCTCAACCAATTAGAAAGTGCTCCAGACTTTTCTATCAACAACTAGTTCCTTAAGAAAGAGCCCTAGAGGCTAAACCCATCAGGGCCAAGGATGGGGCTCGGACCCAGGAAAGGCTTTTCTCCACTGAGCTTGCTTAATAAGCTTACTGGATATGAACTGACATACCCCAAGGGTGGAGATAGCTGCCATTTTGGAACCTGGGACCCATGAAGTGGGCAGAGTTAACAGAACATGCGACGGGCTGTCCAGGAAGGGTGTAACTCATATGAACTAGACCAATAGGAGCCCTGATGGGTGGAGTATGGATCTTACTAAAGGTTTAAAAGTTGATTTTACCACTGAACCAGTGCCCCCGTGCTACTAAAGTGCGTCATGCCCACTTCTCTCACGAGACGCATAATAAAGACTTTCGGATTTTTCTAACATGAGGATGGCCTGCAGGAGAAGGGGCTAAGGAGGAGGATGGGGAAGAGCTGGGTGGGGCATCAGGCTTAGCGCCAGCAAAGTTCTACACTCTGAACACTTAGGTCCAGCCAGGTCCAAGCTGCTGGTCCTACTGACACTACCAACAAATTGAACCAAGTCACCAATACTTAGCAAAAGAGCAAAAAATGGGCTTTTCTGAAGAAGCCACCAGGAGCAACTGGAGCTGAAGGAGTGGAATCCCACCAAGATCCAGTATCATTCACCTGGCAGGGGTGGTCTCAAGTCTCTCTAGGCCCCCACGAATTGCTCACTTGAATCCAGCCTCCAGAAAGCCCTGGGAAGGGGCCTTCACTGCATGCAGGTGTGAGTCACTTACTCCCATCACACTTCAGAAAATACGAGGGCACCTACAGGAGCGGACCAGCGGTCAGTACCTTCAGATGGTGCATGTTCTTAAGCATGATGTCGCCAATGCGCTGGAGATCACCCTTCTCATGGGCACTGGAGGCTCCTTCCCTAAGAGGTGCAGAGAAAGAAAGTCAAACCAGCCCTGCAGAAGATGGATGCGAGCAGAGGAGTGGAACGGGCAGGCAACTGAAAGACAATGGTTGTGATGGAACCAAATGGGACAGGGCCAGACTCACCTTTACCGAAATGCCTGCCTGGAAGGAGCACTTTTATACAAGAAAATCAACCAGGCCAAGGGGACTCTATGCACTGTATTTTTGGTAAACACCTAGCTCCCCTTCCCCTTCTCTCCTAGACATGTGCACAGAATCTGCATGTGAAGATAAGAACACTTTGTGTCTCTACATGTACATTACCACCCAACCAACATGAGGAAAAGAGGTGATTCAAGTAAGACCATGGGGAAAGAGCCAGAGTCTGAGCCCTAGCTTTGCTGCAACTGAGCTCGGAGACTCTGGTCAGGAACCAGGGTCTCCACCATGGTACTAGATGCTCACTACCTCACAGGGCTGTTGGGAGAAAAGCGCTTTATAAACATTTGGGCCCTACTGAAAAAAGAGTGCTTGTAATTCTAATCAGAAGACATAGAATTACAAATTAGAATTCTCCTCTCCTTCCTTGAATAACACGACTTTATATGCTGCCATCCACTCCCTTCAGCTACTAGTGCCTGCCTCACAAAACTGCCTCAATCGAAAGGAAGCTTCCAGAGGGTAGGTACTATATCACTATCTTTGCACTGCTGGCACCACACACAAGGGCCAGCACTTCCTAAAGGCTTCCTGATTAACTGAACTTCTCCCTTCCCCTACAGCACTTAAAAATCAATTTAATCTAACATGAAGCCTTTTTCCAGCAGTCTCCAAAGTTTGGAAATCGATGATAGTAAGACTCGTTTCTTCCCTCTGCACTAGAGCTGTGGTTTTATCCATGGAGGGCACCCCCAGGGAGAAGCAGAGCAGAACCTACTGGGGCACAGAAATTCCCTCGCTGGTCTAGGCTCACACGAGCCAAGAGGGGTCAGAGGTGGGACTTGCTCCCACATCCTCCTGACAATGCAGCTGACTAACTCTCTTGGCAGGTAGACTTCCAAGTGTTCTGTATCATCTACAGTTATTTCAGATGGAATTTCTCTGTCTTTTGCTGCTGGACTTTGTTAGCAATATACAGAAATGCTGATGATTTACGTGGGTTTAATTTATATCCTGCAACTTTGCTGAAGGTGTTTTATTGTTTTAAGGAGGTTTTTAGTTGATTCTCTAGGATTCTTTAAGTATCCCATCATATCATCTGCAAAGAGGGATAATTCTGTTTCCACACTGACGATTCTAATTCCTTCCAATTCTTTTTCTTCTTATTGCTATTATAGCTAACATTTCTAGTACAATATTAAATAACAGTGGTGATAATGGCATCCCTGCTTCATCCTGGATCTTACTGGGAAGACGTCTAAGCTGGTTAACAATGGCAGACAATGAGGTCCTGCGGCACAGCTGCTGAAGCACTTCCATAAAGGATTCCAAACGGTTTTTACAACATCCCTCAGGGATAAGTTATTCTTATTCTTCCTTCCAAGAGAAGGAGACAAAGTCTCAGAGGGGTCAAGTGCCTAGTCAGTGTTCACCTGGCCAGTCAGTGACAACTGCAAGACTCGGGCCGAGTCAGCCAGACCCCAGGCTCATGTCTTTTCAACTCTACCACACTCACAGCAATGGAGGAAATGGTTCGGCCTCTAGGGACTGATGGAGGTATCTGCTCTGGGCAAATCCTACCAGAGTTACCAGAGGGCCAGTCGCTGTTCAATCTCTTTCAGGAATCCTCTGTGGAACTCATAGATAGGGTCGATGTTGGAGAACAGCAACGTCATCAGCGTCCCTGGCATGGCCTCCTCCTTGATGACTGCGCTGCGGAACCACTGGGGCAGAAGACACCAATGGTCAGGCATACAAAGCTCTACGATCACTGAGCGACATGGCTAGAGTGTATGACATGGGTTGTAGCCACAAAAGAATCCTAGGTACTGCATTTAGAGTAAGTCGCTTTTAGGATAAATTAAATTAAATGTTAATTTTCCAGATGCTCCTGTATGTGAATTACCTGGCACTGTGATTCTCAAGGCCTAGAATACTCTAAGTCTGTGAGTCACTACATTATGGACAGATGATAAAGTTGGATGTCATCCACTCTGTTTTTCTTGTGTGGATGCTCTCTGGAGTGGCTATGAATAAGTTCACTGAGGATGACTCCTAGTGCTCCCCTGCCAGAGAAGGACATTTAAAGACTCCCTCTAGGAATCCCTCTTCCACGGGGACTGTGCACAGACAGTAGCCACCAACAGTGCCAAGCATGCCATCCCCTAGTTTACGCTTCACTTGCGATTAATGGTTAGATAAGCACTGAAGAACAGTGTCCCTGTGCTTGTATCCATCAAGGAGCTTCTTAAAAATCATTTAAATAGGCTACAATCATCTATTAAACCTTGTCAGCTTGCAGTCAAAAGAAACAAGCACTCGGTTCTTGGGTCAATAGCTGCCCACAGAAAAATTCACAGCTTTTACGGACCTAAGATGATGTGGAGTGAACGGCAAAGTTTCCCAAGGGCACCATGCTCAGCAGATTTTGTCAGTCAAAGTTTCTGGATGATTTTGCTCATGTTTTTCTTGTGAGACTGTGTTTAGACCAGGAGTGGGAAACCTGTGGCCTTAATAAAAGGATCTGCTCTGTAAAACTTGGATTCAGTCAGAGGGCTGCACTTGAGGACCTAGAGGATCACGTGTGGCTTCGAGGCTGCAGGTTCCCCACCCCTGGTTTAGAATCTATTAAGTACGTACAGTAATAAAGGACAAATTACTTAGATTTCATACCACGGTAATGACTTCTAAATCCTTCAAGTATGTTCGTTCAGTAGCAAGAATCTCCTTGGCTATAAAATATGCATTATCTGTTGGGGTACGCTGAAAGAGACATGAAATGAGTCAGGCAATAAACACAATTTGTGCCCGAAATATACATTATCTCACTATTAAAACTCTCTCTCACATGAAACAAATGTTTGAACATCTGCATAGTTCTTGTAGTATAATAGATGGGTATGACGATGAGTGGTGTGGTCATCTACAAAATGGGGATATTAATAGCACCCATCTCCCAGAGTTGTTGTGAGGGTTAAATGAGATCACATTTGTCAAATGCCTAGCACAATCCCTGGCACACAGCAGGTGCTTAGTAAATGCTCATCCACCAGTTAATCCTGTTATGTCCTGAATACATAACCCAGGGCTTGCCTTTTCATGGTGTGTGTGTGTGTGTGTGTGTGTGTGTGTGTGTGTGTGTGTGTGTCTCCCTCTCCCGCCCTCCTCGGCTAAGGAGTTCATGGTGAATCACCCTTGGCGGTCTTCCTTTCGAACAGCCTTTCCCCCGAACCACTGGCCTTGGACTTGGCTGCTACGGCTTGTCCCCATCCCTAAGGGTGTGTAAATTTGTTCTTTTCTTTCCCTTCCTCTTCCATGTGAAAATTAAGGTGAGGAAAAGAATAAATGTGAGGGTTTTTAACCTATCCATGCTAAATTTCTAAGAATAAGTATTGGCTGTTTGCTCTATCTCTGCAGCTCAAATCATCTTTTCCAAGTCTTTCATATACTTCATAAGTCAGGGAGCCCTGAGCCAAACAAAGTATTCTAATAAGGTCCTGCTTAATGTAACGGAAAAACGAGAAAACATTTTCTACAAACTAAAGGTAATCTATTTAAGTAGTAGGCAAACACTGGCAAGGGAAATTATCATTATCCAGCATTTATAAGAGCCCTTTCCTTGGAGAAGATGAAGAAAATCTATACAACATTAAACTCCGGCCCCATTCACCTTACAGTCTAGCAACTTCCCCAAGCCAACATTTAAACATTTTTCACTTGCAAGTACAACACCTAGCACAGTGTATTACACAGTAAGTTAATAAGTGGCTACTGAATGGCTGAATTTATCTTCTGCATCCTCTGAATACCTAGAATAATTTTCTCTTCAACCCTATTTGTCATAAGTCCTTCTAAACCCCCAACTGGCAGGCTGCATCTTCACAACGGAGGCATGAGAATGAGAAGATGGCCCTGGAAAAACTTCCTGTGGTTGGGCCAAAAAAAACCCCAAACCCAAAAAACCAACCCAATTAATTCTACAAACCTGCCCCTAGTTTTTTTTTCAAAGGCTCAAACTGAAATAGTATTACAGCTTGATGATGATGGTCAGCATGCTCTTTTTTAGAGCCTAACATCCAGTACAAAACTGAAACAGGACGCAGACAAGAAAATATTTCAGAGCAGGATGCCCATTCCATGGCGGCACAGTGGCCACATTTTCATCATCTGCAATGGCATGGGAGTGAGTTACATGAGAATTAAAACCAGAGTTCCAGACTCCAGGGCATCACAAAATGATTCAAAGATGAGATATCAGCAAGCACAAAGACTTAACACAGGGTATCTGACAAAGGGTCTTTATGCCAGTTTAATGGGCACTGCTCTCAATTCAGCACTCTGATGGGACCCGAGATAAACCTGGACATGATTCCTAAAGAGGTTCATTTCTTCCCTTTTATGCATGAACAGGACAGACACATTTTCCCCCACCCTTATCCCAGTCCTCTTTACAATGGTGTGTATTCGAGGCTGCATTCAGAAGTCTCACTTCATTGGGAGCTCTTCAGCGATCTTCCTCTGTTCTTCCATCACTTGTTCTTCCATTAATTCAATCCCATTCAAATCACCTCATCTACCAGTCTCCATTCTTCTTCAGAAATGTATATACTATACATAGTTAGGTTAATTCCTACATCATCTTTCTGGATCATCTGACATTCAGAGATTCTATTTCTAAATCATTTTATTTATTCATAATTTCCTCATACTCTCCTAGCTACATTTTTATTCTCATATCCTCATTACCACTGGACACTAAATCATTCACCTTAAAAGGATATTACTTTGTGCAGTCACCTTTAACATTCAGTTCTTTCTTATTTAATTCCTAAAATGTTTATTTCAGTCCTAAATGCCATGTGTTCTTTTCTATCACCCTGAAGATGATGACCATTCACTTTATTTCCCCATCATGACTCTTGGAGGGCTTTTCTACCTTGAAAAATTTCTATCAATTCTTGGAGTCATTTTTCTAACTATGAAGGGCTATTATCAAAATTTTAATTAAGTTAAACGTAATTTTCTGCTTTATTATTTGTGCTTTGTTAAAATGGGCAACCATGTTGCTTTTCTTCTGGGTAACTGAGAGATGAGATATTTTTTCAAGTACAGCCAGACCTTAACACAAAGTTCCACATGAGGGACCGGCTGATCTGCAAGAGAGAACCTACAGCCAAATGGGCCCATTATTATGGTATGTTTCTTACTAACACACTTGCCCTTCAGCAGCTTTTTAGTTTTGGATTTGAAAGATCTGACTGCTTCTGGAAACAGTATTTATCAAACCAGACTTGGGTCTAGCCTAACGAGACAAATCATATCAGAAATTAAGTTCCAGTTCAATGGCATCCACTGTCCTTACTGCTTTCCTCAGGTCCATATAATTGGTATTACCTAAGGGACTTGCCTTAGGATGAAGTCCTTCCAGCACTTCAGGAACTAAAGCTCTTCAGAGCTTGTCTCAGGTTAACACTATACAAGGTTCCAAGGAGTTTGTGTTCCACCCATGCAGAGCGAACCAGCAGAAAACACACTTCAATGTCTTTACAAGAACTATCAATTAATAATAATGAAAGCCAAGATGGACAAGCTAGTAGAGAGTGAGTATGAGGCATTTAAAAACATCAGACCCTGCAGCAAGGAAAATCTGCTTTCATGCCAAGCCAGAAACTTCCCTATTCCAACAGAACACAGCAGTCTCTGCCAGTTTTGACCCAAAGACACTCTCAGGATATGGAAATTATCAGCATCCTTTCCACCTGCAACACTTTCTAAATGTTCACAGACGCAGCCGGGTCAGGGCCCTAGCAGCAGCCTGCTCTGGCCAAAGCCGCAGAACTAATTCATAGGCTACAAGGGAGGGCCAGAAATGCTGAGGGTGAAGAATGGAAAGCTGCCCAGAGAGGACACAAAAAGAGGACAGGCAAAGAAAGCTGCACATCTCATGAATCACCACCTGAAAGACCACACTGCACCCCCAGGCAAGCACGTGGCAAAACATCAGCTAGCTTTCTGATCCCCAACACCAGCCCTGCTGAAACATGCAGCAAAGGCCACTGAGGGCTTCCACACCTTTCGAATGTTGCTGGTTCTCACCAATGTCTATTTAAAAGGAGGGGAAAAAACCCATCAAATTAAGGAAAAGAAATACATTTGGGGAGGGGGAGAGATTCACACCCCCCCCCAATGATTAAGGAAAAGACCAGGTGAAAAGAGTTACTGACTTTTACACACAGATGCAGGAAGCTTAGGAAAGTCCAACAATTACTTATCTAAAGGCACTGTGCTAGATGCGGAGAATACAATGACAGAACGTGTGCATAGGAACTAAGTACAAAGCAATGTCTAAGGGTAGGGCTTTATGAGGCAGAGGACGAGGTGGGGGTGGGGGAGACAGCCTCACAATCACAAAGAAAGGAGATTTAACCTCGTGTATGAGGAACAGGAAGCAGCCCAGCTTCTTTGGCCTAAAGAGCATGTAATTAGGAGGAGAAAATCCAAAAAGCCGCCCCAGCCGGGCTTTCGCGGGCATGGTACCTGACCGAGCCCCAGAGAACCCAAGAAAGGTTCTCTAGATGCTGACAACTCTATGACAAGCCAGAGTGACGCTGGAAGGCTTTTTTATCCTCTAACTAGCCTCATGTAAACGACTGGAAAAGTGGAAAAATCCTGGATTTCAAAATAACAAGTTTTTAAAAGGCTCATTCACCTTCTCCCAACTTGCCTGCTCTTCTAGCTACAGGCTATATAGCACTTGCTAACTTCTCTCCAAGTAATCCGCACCCCTTTAAAGCTCTAGGGCCACTGATCCTACCTGTTGTGGGCATCCCCTTTTGAAAAGCAGAAATAAAAAAGCCCATGTTTGTGTGCTTTAGAGATGGCCTAATGGCTAGAGGGCTTAACTTGGATTTAGGAAGACCCAAGTTCAAAATGTGAACACTTAGCTGAGAAATAGATAACGTATTCATTCTGCTGCTGCCTCATTTAGAAAACGCTGTAAGCCTTCTAGCTCTAGTTTTCCCACGAATTTTGTTCAGTTCTGTATCCTCCTTTTTGTTTATCTTTCTGTTAGATTCATCCAAAACTGAGAGAGGAATACAGACATCTCTTGTCTCTGTTGTGTTACTGTGCACGTATTCTTGTAGCTCAGATGTTATCTTTATGAATTTGGATGCTAAGACACTCAAAACATAAGTTTATTACCCATATTAGTTTGTTATCTATGGTTCCTTTCAGGATAATTTTCAGGATATAAGAAGTTTCTTTCTTTTTATTTTTTTTTTTGACTTTCATTGGTGTTTTAATTGCTCAGATTTTAATATCCAGTAGGCATTCTTTTTTTTTTTAAATTAAAAAAAAATTATTTTCCCATATGCTTTTGAGTTGAAAATTTTTCTCCCTTTTTCTCCCCCCCACCCTCCCCCAAGACGGCGCACAATCTGACACAGGCTTTACATTTACATACCCATTAAACATATTTTCACATTACTGAAGTTGTAAGTAAAAATTAAAACCAATAGGAGGAACCATCAGAAAGATGAAACAAACCTCAACAAAAGGTAAAAATAAGTGATAGGGATTCAACTTCCACAGTTCTTTCTTTGGATGTGGACAGCGTTTTCCATCCCGAGGCCTCTGGAGATGTCTTAGATCCTCATAATGCTGAGAAGGGTTCAGTTTAACATGCTTAGTCATTGCATAACGTGGCTGCTATTGTGTACAAAGTTTCTTCTTATTTTTTGAACTTTTTTACTTTGTCAGAT